TTCAATGTTTAATGAAAAAAACCTTTAAAGGACCACTATAGCGTTAGGAATGCAAATATGTATATTAAAACCAGCCCATAGGAAAGCATTACTCAATGAGTAATTACTCCCATAGGAAAGCATTACTCAATGGACTCAGTGAGGACATCCAGCGTCAAATAAGTGCGATTTAATCGGTGTAAATCGCGGAAGCGGCCTCTAGTGGCTGTCAAGGAGACAGCCACTAGATGCTGGATTAACCCTCAGTGAAACATAGCAGTTTCTCTGAAACTACTATGTTTTCAGCTGCAGCGTTAAAACTAGAGGGACCTGGTACCCAGATCACTTTATTGAGCTGAAGTGCTCTCGGTGCCTATAATGGTCTTTTAATGTAAGGAGAGCACAAAGATATGAGAGAATTATTTTCAGATATGATTGACTAAACACTATTACACCTACAACTCTTTGTAGTGACTATGATGCTCTTTGGCAACTGGCACCAGCTCTGTGTTAAATAATTTTTAAACGGTTTAACACAAATAGAGGTTCCCAAGGCACCCGCATCCTGGCACCTTGCTCACAGTATTGCTATTGTACATACCTCCCAAGTGTCCAGGGTTTGCCGGGACTGTCCTAAATTTAGGATTCTCTCCCATCACCCCAGGTTTCTTTCCTCCACCAGGGGTGATTAGTATATTTACCAAACACTGAATGTCAGCTGCATTCACTATGAAAAAAAATCTAGTAAAAGACAATTTATTTTGCTGCTATACTTTCCTCTGGCAGCCAGTGAGCTATGTTGATGGCAAAAAAATAGGGGTTTCGGTCCAAGAGTAACTTTTATGGTCCCTCCTGTATATATTGATTTAAGCTCCTCCTTAAACCAGCCCAGTACTGTGTCATAAGCTAACCCTAAACCCCACTATGTTCCATAAATAACATGGTGACAACAAACCTTTGATTGAATTCTTAGTATTTATATAAGCCTATATTTATGAACTCCACATCTGCTGTATAAACCACAAGAAATGCTATTTCCCAAGCACCATAATCACTACAGCACTCTCATGGTTTGACTGCTTACCTATGGTCAACATGGCGCCGGTACCAGCCTTTCCTCTTCCTGTATGGAGAGCTAGAGGAAGTGCAGGACCAGCTCATTGGCTGAGAGTGTCAGTAAGCCCTATACCGTGGAATAAGAAAGGTGGTAAACCACACCAAAAAGTGCTCAAAAGTGCAAATGTATGTATGCATATACATATTTATTTTGCACTTTTGAGCACTTTTTGGCACGGTTTACCACCTTTCTTATTCTACATATTACACTACAAGCAGCTATTGGGAAATCCTGCTGGTTTACTGCTGCCCCTCAACTTTTTTGGTTATATAGAGAGCGCCTAATCTATCCTCGATTAAGCCCTACACCGCCATGTTTAGCTGAGACCTCCTGTTAACAATATCATTTTCACCCATTGCGGGTAGCATTGGTTGGTTAAATATGTCATCTGACACACCAAGTGGTACTTACATTACATTGGCAATAAGCAAGCAGGGAACTGAGGCAACCTGGGAAACTTTTGTTAAAAGCACCTGCAGCCAAATAGCATGCAGTGATTATGGTGCTCAATCTACTCATTTAAATAATCAAATTGGAATTACAGGTGTGAATATCACCACGTAAATGCTTAGAAGATATTGTCCATAAAAGACACAACATAATTGTTTGTATTTATTAAAGGGGTAGGGAACTGTATTTTTTTTTTTATTGAAAGCTACCCTGTCATTCTTTCCTCGTGCCCCTTGTATCTTCATGATTGTACTCCCCCCCATCCCCCTCATCATTTGCCTTTACTTATATTTATTATCTTTATCTCAATACCCGGGAGCAGCCATTTTGTTCTCCCCTGCCTATGCTGTCTACAATTTGCCCTTCAATGGGATTGATTTTACTGATGGATTGTGGGCAAATTTGATTGGTATATGAAAAGAAAACATGCTTTAAGCTCTGTCCGCTGTCATGTTTTGGAAACTCGAATACAATACGTAAAGAAAAGTAGTCCTGATAATTCTTTATGTATTTTGTGAAAAGTCGAGCACTCACGAAAAAATAAATAATCACTTTAATAGCACAGCTAAGTACCTACAGATTATGCAACATTTTCTATTTTTCAAAAAGTTCAAAAGATCTATTCAATTTTTATTTAATAAAACAAATGTTTTCAGGATATAGCACAGGCCCCAATTACCTCAGTATTTTGAATTGTCAGATTCAGCAAGGAATGTAATAGCCAGTGAGTTATTGTGTACAAGTGCTGGGTCTCACTGCTGTGTCTGTAAGGCTGATGGATGCATCGGTGAAGTATCTGTTATCTTTATAAGTCATCAATACACACATAGTTTGTTTACATGCAGGCAATGTGCAGATATAAAAAGGTTTCAAATGGTTCTTTTGTTGGAATGTAGTTCTACAGTATTTTTTTTTTCCTGAAAGAAAATCCCCAGTAATTGTGTAAATTGCAAAGAACTGTTTATAGGGAACATGAAAAAAAATACAGGGCTGTGTTTTCAAGAGGAAGAAGTAAGTCCCCCAAATCTTCAATTATCTTTCTGGTGCATAAATCTTCATTTTTCTTTCTGGTCCATAAATCTGCATTTTTCTTCCTATCACATATAGAAAGTGTTGTGACACCTTTCTGACCTCTCTTTAGGCTTTTGCCATTTGCGTTTATTTATTCAAATTTGAATGCCATCATTTTCTCATTTGCTTGTCTTTCATCACTTTTTTGCGCATGTTATTTGACTTTATTTTTTAGGTTAAAATTCTGACAATTAATATGTATTAATAAAAATAAGCACATCCCTCCACCTCTTTTTACATCTGAATTAATACATGATTCTTAATTTGGCTGGTTCTCGGGCAGTTTTTGTACATTGCAGGCAAAATGGAAAAAAGGTGACCATGTATTAAAGTGGATCGCAAAAAACAAACTCTTCCTAAACACTGACAAAACTGTCACAATGATCTTTGGAACAGTACCTAAATTACACAAATTACACAATTCCTCCCTATCCATCAAAACAAATTCAAATGGCACACTGACCGCAGTCCACTCTTTCAAATACTTGGGTATGTTGTTAGACCCCAATCTATCTTTTGGATTCCACATAGAAAAACTTGCATCTAAACTTTATCCAAAACTAGGTGCCCTGAACAGAAACAAATCCTGCCTAAGCCCTACAGTAAAGGAAAAGATTGTACTGCAAATGCTGATGCCAATCATTGATTATGGGGATGTAGTATATGCATCTGCACCGCAATCCCACATTAATAAACTCAACACATTGTATAACTCGCTCTGCTGATTTGTGCTGCAATGTAATTACAGGACCCACCATTGTGACATGCTGAAAGAACTAAACTGGCTGTCGCTGGAATCCAGACGCACCCTTCATCTTTCCAGCTTTGTGTTTAAGAGCTTTTCTGGGAGGCTCCCACCCTTCCTGAACAAAATGCTTTCCCCAGCTGTTCCTGCCTCCTATAACCTCCGATCCAGTACCAGCACTTTATTTAGTCTACCTCAATACAAAAAGAAAGCAGCCCGATCCTCCTTCTCCTACAGAGCGCCGCAATTGTGGAACGACCTCCCGCACAATTTAAAATTTTCCCTAAGCCTAAAGTCCTTTAAGAGATCCCTCTATACATACCTCAAAACAGAATGCACCTGTCATGGTTGATTATATGTTTCCTACCTGTTCTATGTTAAATTTTGTATTTATTGTGTATTAATATTGGTTTTGTATTTTATTGTACCCTAATGTAACAATGCATTGATTTGTGGACCCAGGACATACTTGAAAACGAGAAATCTTAATGTATCTTTCCTGGTAAAATATTTTATAAATAAATAAATAAAGTTCGTATTAATGTTTTACACACACGATCCTGCAGCAACCAGACAAAATAGGTGCAGGTGTGAAACATACAGGGTTGTCAAGAATTCAAAGTGAATTTAAAACTTTAGACCAAAATAATAGAATTAGAAGCATAGCTTTTCCAGATCAGCTATATTTGCCTTAAATTTGCAATTTACTTTGAATTTAAGACAATTCTGACTTTAGTATATAACCCTGCAATTGTGACACTTTTATACATTACGCCCATTGCTTCGTCTCAGAGTTTTGCTGATTTGAGCTGCATTTAGACTTTAGAGATTAACCCAGTAGGGATAGAGTTGCTAAAGTTTGTTGTTTAATGAATACAATTTCAGACACTAATATTCACTTCACCAAGTAACAAATGTAAATAATTTGTAGTAGGTGTTTGTACGTTTTTTTATAAAGCGGGTGAGGTTACTGCTACAAATACAAAGTCCATATTGTTAGTAACATCCCCAGGACGTACTTGAAAACCAGAGTAATCTGAATGTAATTTTCCTGGTTAAATACTTTGTTATTATTATTGCAGTGAGTAACATTCTGAATGGAACACTTCAGGCTAAATAGCCAATCTGTGATTGTAGACAATTTAGAGAGATTTTTTTTTCGAGATCAGCTATTTTAGTCTAAATTTTGCAAATCAGATATCAATTCACTACAATCTGGAGCTGAACGAATAATCGTTACAGCCTTTTATTGACTAACGCTACAGAGCAATCTTTACAATAAACTAGGTTACTTACTAAATACAGAATTTTAGTAAATGACATCTGGATTTCAAAATGAAGGCTAAAACATTCAAGTTGTGACGAGGGCTAAGATGAAGAATTGTCCAGATCAGATATTTTTCACCTTAATTGTGTCATTCATGAATTTAAATTTAAGGCCAAAATAGCCAAACTAGAAAAATGATCCAAGTCATCTATGCTTCCGGTTTGATTCTTTTGGTCTTACATTGGAAATTCACTTTGAATTCCTGACAGTTCTCATGTTAGTGAATTGTGAATGTCTCAGGAGCAGTGGAACCCTGTGTCACCTGTTTGTGCTCCTCCCAGATGGCAGAACAAACACCTTAGGTGGAGTCTGACAGCACCTGTATACGCAAGATTCCCATGATAGCAATAGAGTTAGTTTAGGAGACAGCTTCTACAGACCTGTGGGACACTGTTACAAGCTGAAACAATGCACGTCAACATCCCAGTCACTGAGGAAGTTCAGGACAGCCTGGGAAATCGCTATGTGGTAAAAATGAATTATCTTTTTGTGCTATATAAATCCGTTGATATGCAAAATTCTAGCAAAAAATTTTTTTTTTATCAATCTATATTTTAACCTCTTATCGCTAAAGTAAATGTTTTTTTATTTTATTGATTTTGTTTTTGTGGGTTGTGTATGTTGGTGTTTTTTTTTTATTTGTTTTGTTAACATGTTGATGGTAGAAATGGTCAGTAGTGATGCTTAATGGAGCACCATAATAACTACTGCCCGCTATAGTGATTACAGTGCTTGGAGTGTTACTTTAACAAATGTATCAAAATGATCACACTGGGGTTTACTTATTAACTAAACGAAATAATAAGTAGTGAGTTTTAAGGATTAATGGAAGTTAGGGGATTTTTGTTGTTGAAATGTGGATTAATTGCTGTGCAGTCACAACAACAAAAAATATTCTTTAACCCCCTTTATGATAAAGAATTTAGGTAAATTCCAAATACCTTATCTTGGCTTCAGTGTTGCAATTCAGATATCATTTGCATAATTTTAGCATTTAGTGATTAACACTATGAAAACATGATATTCAAGGCTGTTATACAGTTCAGAGGGACCAGATAGAATTTACGGTAAAGTGTAATATTGGGTCCTTAAAGGGACCTTTTAAGAGTTTCCTGGAATTATCCCACTGTTGAGTCAAACTCTATTTGGATGGTCTGATGCTTACCTTGGTCCTTTGGCTGCCTGCAGTGCAGCCCCTCTTGGCTGGGGAAGTTCCCCTTCCTTTCTAGAGATATGTCTCTCATTGCTTGTCATGGACACAGCCATTAACACAAACATGTATTCCTAACACTACAGTGTTAAACTAACTGTTTAGCTTACCAGCCCCACATTACCACTGTGCACATATAGCTATTATCACTATATATGTGCCCTCCGGCCACTGGCTGCATCATGTATAGTGACATGCTATCTCCAGTTTCCAGAGAGGGGAGAGGAAATGTTTTAATTTAAAGATGTACACAGCATTTGTGCATAACCTTGAAACTGGCCTTCCCAGACCACCCAACAGTCCTGCTTTTGGGGTCCTGTCCTGCTTTAGTTTCCTGCATCTAGGGACACCAGAGAACTGTCCCTGGGCAGCAGAGCATGAGCACATCATCATATACAGTAGGATTATACAGGTAGCGCTGCGGGGCCGGCCAGGTAACCTGTCAGTGGGTGGCCCTGCCACTTTTCTAGAAGGACCAGGACCCTTTTCCCGAATGGGCATTGCTTGTGATGCAGTTTGCGTTGCTGGTGACACCCCATCAGGGGCCAGCCCAGCCTGTCCTGATTCCGTAGGTCCAATTGTTGGGAGGTATGGGTGTATGAATAGTATTGTATAGTCTCTAGTCTCCAGGTTTATAGACTGATGGGAACCCATACCAACTGCTACTTCCAGTCTCCAGCGTTATAGACTGATGGGAACCCATACCAACTGCTACTTCCAGTCTCCAGCGTTATAGACTGTTGGGAACCCATACCAACTACTACTTCCAGTCTCCAGCGTTATAGACTGATGGGAACCCATACCAACTGCTACTTCCAGTCTCCAGCGTTTTAGACTGATGGGAACCCATACCAACTGCTACTTCCAGTCTCCAGCTTTATAGACTGATGGGAACCCATACCAACTGCTACTTCCAGTCTCCAGCTTTATAGACTGATGGGAACCCATACCAACTGCTACTTCCAGTCTCCAGCTTTATAGACTGATGGGAACCTATACCAACTGCTACTTCCAGTCTCCAGCTTTATAGACTGATGGGAACCTATACCAACTACTACTTCCAGTCTCCAGCTTTACAGACTGATGTGAACCCATACCAACTGCTACTTCCAGTTCTAAAGACTGATGGGAGACCATACCAACTGCTGCTTCCACCTCTAGATTTTTAGATGGATGGATATCCATTTCACTTGCTCCTGCCTGCCTCCAGATGGGAGTCTATACTGTCTCTTCCTTTTTCTACCTTTTGGGACTCCATCCCTGTTAAAATGATGATGATCTTGTCTGGAACTCACAGAATGAGTGTTTATATAATTGACAATGGGATTTCTTCAGCACCAGGAATAAGCATTGTTGGTCCTCTCTGATTTCCTACAAATTTCCAAAAGAATATGTCTCATAGGTAAAATAAAAAATCAATACCCCTTAATTACTAATAACCGGTAGCTAACAGGTAGTCCATTGGTAGCTAGGGGCTGCCCACAGAGATTTTGAAATATGTTTCATCCTGCTGACTGCCACTATTAAAGATTCAAGGACATTGTTTGTTGGATTCTGTTGCTGAACAACTTGGCCTATGCTAGTGCAAGACACCCATAGATTATAGACCCATCCCTAAATGGAATCTGTACATTTTTGGACAGCACTTGACTTATGCCAGAGGAAGACACCCTTATTTCCTAGTGATTGGTTTGGCTCTGTAGACTGTATACTGCCAGGCAATACTTGGCATATGGCAGCACAAGATACACAGGATTCTTTGGTTTATGGTGGTGTATTATTGTTTGTGTGTGTGTGTGTGTGTGTGTGTGTGTGTGTGTGTGTGTATATATATATATATATATGTGTGTTTTTTTACAAAGGTTTTGTACATTGAAGACTCAATTATAAAATTAGAACATTTTTGATTTTTTTTTTTTTTTTTAATTAAAATATATACATATTCATCAACAGCATTTTTTTTAATATTTGCACTGTAGGGAGTTGTATCATGGTCTCACCACAAGCTTTTTGGCACCTCCATATACTCTCAGAGAGACTTCAGCTTCCAGACCAGAAGCGTCTAGTTTCAGGTCATAATCTATACTAATGTTTTTGTTTTATTTTTTTATTCTTATATATATCCCAAATTAACGCCTCTAATAAACAGATTATCTGAAACGTGTCACTAGCTCTCAGCAAGAAGACCTGACACATTGTTAATACCTTAATGAGACAGATACAACAGCATCCTCTATGCTTTATTGCCAACATAGTTTAGCAGATTATTAGACCGTAAAAAAGGAAATATGAAGTTACACCATCTGTAGCCAATGACAGGTCAAAACCTATCCCTGAAGGATTAAACTGCAGTTATACCACTAACTCTCTATGCCCTCCCGTACAAATTCCTCTGTTACCTTTTGTCTCACCTCCACAGTTTACCTTTAGATTGTAAGCTCACGGGCAGAGCACTCTACCTGTTGTTTCAGTCTGTTCTTATTGTATTGTCTTTTTCCCAATTGTACAGCGCTGCAGAATATGTTTGGCGCTTTATAAATACCAGTAATAAACAAATTGTTGGCAAATGTCCACACCATTCTCTCAAACAAACAAAGGGCAGGAGATCGATAGGGAAACATAGAATGTGACGGCATATCTATAGAAGCAAGTTGTGTTCTGCACTAAATTTCCATCACACCAGCTTCCAGATAATGAACCTTGTTCAACTCAGTCCTATAGCTGGAAGTAGGTGAGACGGGACTGCTGGCCAAAAGTGAAACACCAATGGATGTTCAGATGACCAAACAGGTCGTTCATAGAAAGCTAATGAGTGCAGCTCTGTATGTGATCAATAGGAAAAACCTTTTTAAAAGAGGCCTAAAACATGTACCTTTACCCATCATTCTACACATTTAGAGATTTCTTTTGTTCCTCACCATATGCCTAGTGTTACGGCTCCCCCCAGTAGGAGAGGAGTTACTGCTGTATAGGACGATCCCTTACCGAATGCAGAGGTAGCTACTGAGTGCTTCAAACTGCCGAACAGCAATCACACAAACCCGTTGGTCTCCAAAACAGCCGAACAAAAATCACAACAATCACACGAATCAGTCAGTCTCCCAAATAGTAGAACAAGCATAATCTATACGAATAATACCCCCCAATGACGAGACAAAGTTCCGTATTGAGGGTCAGCAGGAATCTGTTTTACTGTATTTATGCAGGTCTCCCACCTGGTGGACACTCCCCTAGGGGACCAGATGGGAGACTGTGACAAGGACATTACAACAACCACTCACAGTGTTGCCATGCCCCTTTAATTACCCAAGACCCTCTGCTCTACCCGGGAGAAAATTGTGAAGTAATTCAATTATCTCCCGGGACATAGACCAAACGCCATTTTTTAAATTACTATAACAAAATGCATAAAAATGTATAAATTTACAATAACTGGACATAATAAAGGCATTCAACGTCTCCCCAGATAGCTGGGATCTGAGCGAACAAAAGTACCGAATAGCGCTCAGATCCTATGCACACAGTCCAATCGCCGTGGAGTCAAAGTGTTCACAAAGTCTGTTCTCCATACGAATAGACGCCATGGGATGGCTATCTGGGGTATGGCTTATTCGTGGACAAAATACAGAATACAGGGATTTTTGGGAGTTCTCTACCGAAGGAGAAGGGAGGTAGGCGGCTTCAGCGGTGTTCGGGCCAAAAAGTGTCAGTTTTAGGTTCCATGGGTTTACCGTCGAACACCGCTGAGCGTTCACGGATTTAAAATGGCCGCGACCTCATGTTCGGGATACGAATGGCGGCCACCCAGCTACAGGCATCAATTAAAAGGTGTCTGTGGTTAACCTCAACATTCGAATGGGGCCAAGAGGTTAACCAGCAGCACACTTCTCTACTGGGTGGCCGGCCGTTCGGGAGTTTTATTCGGTAGTAAAAAAAGGGAATGGTATAGAGAATGGTATCCACATGAACGGGAGAACATGAATTAAATCAACGAATGGACGATAAGTCTCTGTAAGTTCAAGACAGAGAGATCTGTCACACCTAGTGCTTGGACACAAGACATTTCATTGTCGGCTCTGTATAAATACCGCCTTCTCCATACCACTCCATGTTCAAAATCTATTCAACACCAAAATGGAACACCTATGTCTAAAAAGAGAGAAACTGTGTGGTGGTACTAAATTGAACTTCTTCACACTCACAGACAGCCAGTGTTCTATGTGTGTATCTGTATAATTTTATCTTTTTATTTTTTTCTACCATGTGGTAACCTACCATAATGCAATTGGTGCAGGGTTGCTTGTGTTCTGGGTTCATACCTTTAGATTGTAAGCTCACGGGCCATCTAGCTAAGCACTTTGTATAAAAGAGCTCCAATGGCTAGATATCAGCTTATGGGCAGGGCTCTCTTACCTCTTGTATTTGTTTGTGTATATTGTACGTTTCTCAACTAATCGTACAGCGCTGCGGAATCTGTGTGCGCTTTATAAATAGCAATAATAAATAAATAAATAAATATAATACCACATGATCGCCTATAATAGCCAATCTCCTATTAGCAAGAACAGTAAATCATCCAAGTTTTCGTTTGTTGTCTTGAAGTAAATTTACAGTTAAAAAACTGGAGGTGTCTGTAAGTTCTGAAGACACTTTCTAATGAATGTATGGTTTGGTTGTAGAGTAAGCCCTGTAGTAGGACAGAATTGGTTAACCTCATTGGCTAGACTGGATTTCTCATGATGAGGAATCTTGTTCAATGCATTAACAGTGTCTTTTAATTCTTAACTCATGCCAAAAGGCAGTCTAATATTTTTTGTATTTTGTGTCATTGCAGCTTTACTCTGTGTTCCTGGAAGGTACCCTTCTATTCAAGGTTCGATACTCTGATCTACATTTGTGGGATGAACAGGTAAGTGTTTTTGTATTGCATTATGTATTTATCCTACACATTCAAGGATAAAGTAGGGTGACAAGGAGAACATGTAGTCATACTATAATTCAGAGAATATTGGGGGAAATTCACTGAGGCAAATAACGTGTTATCGTAATTCAAAGTTTTCAACAAGGAGCAATCACTATGGAAAGTAATAGACTGTCTCTCAACATTTCGCAGTTTGCAGCCAAAATAGAACCTGTTTTGCTTTCTAAATATCTCCCACTTTGTTAGCTTTTTTTGTTGGTTTTTTTTTAAACGACACTACCTCGCCAAAGCTACATGTTTTCTTTGTATTTACCTGGTTTCTATGACACCAGTTTAAGCCCTACTTACTATAAGAAAACTGAGATTCTCAAAGGGCCCTAGGCAGGTTTTCAGTTTGGGGCCCTTTCTAAATTCCTCACGTAGGATGGTAAATGGTGCCAATAAAATTCTTGGTTTTGGGCCCCTGTCTAATCACTGGGCCCTAGATTATCTGAAACATCTGTATTGAGTTACCTTCTGGTTAATACTGCTCTAGTAGACAAAGAACATAAACACTAGGTAGTGCCTCTAAATGCTAGATAGGCTAATGTAGTGATCAACAGCAAGACTATTATCCACATTGCATTCAAATAGGAATGTACGGTACATATGTTAGTACCGTATATTAGTATGTGTTTATTTTATTTTTTCTCTTCCATAATTTGGGTTACTGGGTTTATGCAAAGGCTTGACATATAGAAAGTTTGCGATGATATCATAATCGTTGTAAATAAATGCGTTCACACACTTGACCTTTTCAAACAGATATAGCTGCACTGATGTGGTCATTCCGGTTTAATATCCATCAGGTGTGACTTGTAAATCAAGCCTTTTTTGCTCATTATGACCTAAGAGTAGGGGGCAGGTCCGCAAGATTTCTGTTCTGCTTCATGTACGATGTGCTAAACACACATGCCGAGTTACAAAACATTGGGCGTGCCTCTGTGTTTGTTTGCAAGGAATTTTATACGTCAAATGAAACAATCTGTTTAGAGGAGAATACAACAATACTGTGTGTTTCTGTACATAGGAAAGAGGAAATACAAATAAAAAAGAAAAATCCCCTGAAAAGTCCCATACTGGATTAATAATTTTTTGTTTTTTCATAAAGATAAATAAATAAAATAAATTATTTACATACATACATACATACAAGCAAGCAAAACAACCATGCAATACAAATGTTGGTATAAAAAATATAGAGATGAGTGAAGGAGCTATAGGAAGAAAAAAAAAAGATAGAAGGTGTAAATGAAAGACAGATGAGAGTTCCATGTTTGATACAAAACAAGTTCCAAATATTATCTGACATAGTGCACATATGAAGTTCCAGTTAATGGTGGTTTTAGGAACACCTTTTGAAATTTTACAGAGAGATCCTAATCACTATATTATCAAGGAAGAGAACAGAACTGATTCTAAGAAATGGTCCTATATAATATAAACGTTGAGCAACCTTTACACTATTACCCAGTACGGGAGGCACCAAGAGTTCCATGGATCTAAGCTATCCGACAAGTTGGACCCGTTATCTCACCATTCGGGTTTATAAGAACTCTCCTGTAAATATACTCATGGAACAAGTTCTGATGTAAATGAAAAATTGTTGACATTGATAATGTATTATAGATAATTCTAGCTCTCTTTCCCAATAATGTGTCTAAAATGTAGTGTAATGAGAAGTGAGTCAGTAGCAAAGTACATGTGGTCAGGGTACTCTACTTCAAATGTCAGAACTGGACGCCACAACAAATGTTTCACTTGATAATGGTGCTAGCTTGCTATCTGGCCATTTAGGTAGAGCAGTTGGAACCATTTCAGGTTAATGTTATGAGAAATTCCTACAGATATAAGATTGTCCCTCAGTGCTTTCTTTAAGTGATCCAACTGAAAGAAAATGCAAGGCAAAATTTTTGAAGGGAATGCTAGATTGTGTGAGATGGATGGCAAGGAAGATAATTTGACCTATCAAAACCTGGAATTCTGACATTCTAGTGGAGGGGTGGATGCAACAGGTGGGTGGTCTGTATTTTGCAAGGAGCCAAGTTATGGATTTTAGTGAGTTAATAATATATTGATGTTTCCCTGCCAGAATTCATCGTTTATCTTCTTGTAATCTCATCAAGCGGTTTGTATCACTGGGCAACTCTTCTAGTAAGGAACAGTTATGGGTTTTGCAATCGCATACCACTTTCCTCTCTCTTAGTGGTCAGGATGTAAAGTCCTATTCTGCCTGCTTTGTTTATCCAAAGAAGTGAGTGCTGCTGGGTAAAAAAGGCAAATGCCCTTTACCTGTCTTCCACTTTGAAGATCTTGCATAATGCATGTTTGATTCATTGTGTATGTTGCCCACAAAAGCCAATGGTAGATTGTAACTTAGAGGTGCTCTGCCCCCCTGTCTCGTTCCTTTACATCCACATACCTACAGCGGGCATTTGGAGGAAGAAAGGCTTTACAATACAATTCCCATTAAATTGGGTGATCGTAACAACCCCTGAAGCTGAAGTGGTAGAGGTTAACACTGTAAAGGAGTTTAAGCATGCGTGGGATAGGCATAAGGCTATCCTAACTATAAGATAAGGCCAAGGACTAATGAAAGTATTTAGAAAATTGGGCAGAACCGAATGGTTCTAATCTGCCGTCACTTTCTATGTGACATCTGATAGATTCTTTGATAGATTCTCTTGAAAATATGTTTCGGGGGGTGTTTCAGTTATACTCCTGAACATAACTACATACAGTACATGTTAATATTCAGCCATTATATATAATATATACCACTATAGCGCACTGCAGTGGTTGTGCCATGTAAGTAGTCAAACTGTCTGCTAACCATTTCACTTCTTACCGAATGTCCACCGGATGCCACTCTCTGCCTCTCTGAGGCCATAAGCTCTCTTTACTGAGCCAATGAGGTGGTGCAGGGCTTGGCTCATGCGCTGCAAGCAATCTGCTGACCGTCAATGAGCTGGACAGCAGAAGAGCTAACACAAGCTTCTAGTAGCTGGAGTGCCCGGCATGCTTCTGGTAAATGGGCAAACAGTCTGACTACTTACATTAACATGGTGCCTGGGCACTCCTGCCACCTGAATCGTTACAGAGTGCTGTAGTGGTTATGGTGCACTGTGTTCCTCTTAAAATACCTACTATTACATCTCATAACTTGTTCCTTTAAACTTTTTTTTTTTGTCCTCTGTTTTATTTTAGCTTCAGAGGGTATTTGGAAATAATTTACCTGCATTTCCACCCAAATACTATCTTGCAATGACCAAATCCATGGCAGAAGAAAGAAGGCTACAACTGGAGAAGTACCTGCAAAAACGTAATTTATTTTCCTTTTGATTACTGGAAAATCTTAGTTGAGCTGCCGCAAAAGTTGTTCATTTTTATCAAGTAGTTGACTTTTCAATGCGAACGTTCCATAAAATTAATCTGACCACTGCTCTCATGGACTCTGCAGATTCTCATTGCCTTTTAGAACACAAGGCATCTTTACAACACACTCTGTAGCACACAAGTACAGATGCTGGGCAAGTTAAATGTTTGAGCTCAGGATGGTGTGTTCTGCAGATAGAACAGAGAAGAGTATAATTCTTCTTAATACCTGTGCCATACTCGGTGTCACCTTTTATACAGACTACTTTTAGAAAAGATACCATTGTGACGTGTCTTTTTAATCCCTCTATTCACGTATTTCCAAGTTTGAATTAACTGCGATATCCGTTTAAAGAGATGCCCTATAGATCCATAATGTGATCAGTTCTTTTTGCTGTTTAGTTGTTTCAGATCCAGTTATTTCCAGCAGCGAAATATTCACAAACTTTTTCAAGAGACTGCAACTGGTATGTACACTTTTTAAAAAATCTTTAAATCCGTACACATGCAAGATGTTCTTGAGCCTCAATTCTCATAATCCTTGGTCAGGTAGACAATCTAAATCTCTTTTTATGTATGCTTCTCAAGCCAATGGGAGTAATGGTTTATAAATTATCGAAATATTAACAAGATTCTCAAATAAACACGTCGGCTCATTTGAGAATTTTTTCCCTCTGCAAATATTGCTAATAATTTCTCTTAATTGTGGTTAAATTCCCTTTGTAACATTATAAATTGCTACAGACTGAATTCACCCACTGATGTTTATTCCAACCAGGCAGCGGCAATGTAAAAGAATTGCCTCTGTTGTTGGATTTTTGTCCATATATACATTACAAGATCCAACATAAATTGATTTTATTAGAGGCTGTGTGGTTCCAAAATTAAAATGTGCCTTAAAATGCTCTCCACGTTGATACTGTGACATGTTTTAGGAGTAAATGAGTGCATCACGGACCATTAAGGAGCGTCGGAGCCTGGCGGGGACCCAGGAAAGCATGGGTAAACCACTTTTAAACCGTTTGCCTTGGGGAGCTGGGCCAGGGTGCAGCAGGCTGTAGTGGTTATGGTGCTTTGAGAAACCCTTTAATACACGTGCTGTGAAAGTCATTGTGACTGATACAAATGCACCTTAGCAAGCATGTACTGCTCTTATCCTGCTCCACTGAGCAAATAACAAAGTGCTTTTAGCACAAAGCATGTTAATCTGGAGATTTAAGACCCACTGCCCTCCATTTGAATATAAATTCACTAGTTATTAATAGTGGGGTCACAGTCAACAAAAGCGATAATTTTATATCTTGCTGTGTGTGACAATGGGTGTATTTCCAGGAAACCTACATTATATAATATCTTATATAAGCCAAACAAAAACCTTTTAAAACAAAATACAATAAAACTGTTAGAGCTTCACACCTATAGCCCCTCAGTCTGTATATATGCTAAAGTATACCCTTGTATAGTACTTTGTAGAGAGCCAAGGAGATTAGGCAATTGCCCAAAGCAATGGTTCCTAACTTTTTCCGCCACTTTATCAGTAGTTTTAAAAATCTCACATTTACTTGAAGCCTTAATAGAGATGTTTTCTCCTAATTATTTTTTATTAGTTTTAATTGCCAGAATCAAATGGCATTGCAACGAACACCGGTATCTCCTAAACCCGTTCATTAGTTCCTCCCGAACGGCGAGTTATAATCACTCGTGCTCTGGCCATTCGGGAAAAAGAGTAAGCTATTCTCCATACGAAATATCAGCTTTCCCAAGTAGATTCCTCCAGTAAAGCAGTCAGGTACCTAAACATCAGCCGAAGTCTAGATGAAGGGTGTAACAGAACTGAATTTTAATGCAAGGGGACCTCCCACGTGGACCTGGTTGGGCACAGGAACATAAATCATACAGCCAATAGTAATACAGGGGAAAACTGTGACACTCCCAGTACAAACATACAATCCCCTCCTCTCTACCTGGAGATAATTGGGTCTGAGTAATAAGTAATAACTTAATTATCTCCAGGCAGAAAAATTACAATTTCCCCAAAACTTAAAACGTACCCTAAAACATAATATTCCCACAAAAGTCATATCCCCTGATAGCCCTGATCTGGGTGACCAATATATCCATAAATCACCCAGATCAGTTCAGGGGTTTTCGAATTCCATGGAAGTCTTAGGTGACCGGCCTCACACGAGGCACCTACCCAAAACAGTTCCACAAGGTTTGGTAGTTTTGCCGGTCTAGTTCGTGAAGACTGGAAAAATGAATAAATGCATGAACTGCTCCCCCTGGCACATAGTAGCGATTGTTCCCCTCGTTCGTGGGAACAAAACTACCGAACAGCGCTCTCCTAGCTGTTTGGGAAAAGGAAGCAGGCGTTCGTACAGTTGGACTGGTGTTCGTAAAGTCGAGTGTCCGATTTTAGTTCCAGACACTCGACGACCAAGTCTCGCTGCCTCCTTTCGTGCAAACAAGATTGCTGCCGTTTTCTAAACCACGTGGCATTCGGCTATACGAACGGCGGCCACACAGGGAGAGGGCTTAAACTACTGTTCTCTTTGAAGTTAATGAGCCAGGGGGGTGGTCGGTGTTCGGTAGTTACAGCTACTGAATGAAATGAAATAAAATAAACAAAATAACAGTGTGATTTCTTCACAGGCATGCTCAACCAGTGAATGTGGACACTGGCGTACATACTATGGTCGCAGCTGCGACCAGGCCCGTCACTCCAGGGGGCCCGCCGCCCTGTGGACCCCTGCGAACCCCTGTGACTGGGTACCCGCCATTATCTTTTGCGGCCCCGGCCCACACGGCAAACCGCCGGGGCTGCCGTCAGGGCCACCCGATGGATATTGATTGTAAGGTGGCCCGGTCAGCGTTGGGCGCTTTAACAGCGCGACCGGGCCCTCTGTAATTACATCACATGCTGGGAGGAAGTGACTGCACGTCACTCCTCCCAGCTAACACCCCAGTCACCCTCCTGCACCTAAAAGGTAAGAAACAGGAGGGTGACTTAAATATTGTGTGTGTGTGTGTGTGTGTGTATGTATGTATGTATGTGTGTGTGTGTGTGTGTCTGCCTGTATGTATGTGTTCCTGTTTGTATGTATGTGTGTTTTGTATGTGCCTGTCTGTGTCTGTATGTGTGCCAGTGTGTGTGTCTGTCTGTATGTCTTTGTGTGTGTACTTGTCTGTTTGTATGTATGTATGTGCATCATTAGTCTGCCTGTGTGTATGTGTGCATGTCTGTTTGTATGTATGTATGTATGTGTCTTTGTTTGTATGTCTGTCTGTATTTGTCTGTGTGCCTGTCTGTGTGTGTGTCTATCTGTATGTATGTGTGCCTGTTTGTATGTATGTCTTTGTATGTATGTGTGTTTGTCTGTGTGTCTGTATTTGTGTTTGTATGTATGTGCATCTTGTGTGTGTATGTATGTCTGTCTGTATGTGTCTGTGTGTATGTGTGCCTGTCTGTTTGTATGTATTTGTCTTTGTTTGTATGTGTGTGTGCCTGTCTGTGTGTGTGTGTGTCTGTATATATGTGTGCCTGTCTGTTTGTATGTATCTGTGTGTGTGTGTGTGTGTGTGTGTGTCTGTAAGGGGGGGAATAGAGACTGGGGGGGAATAGAGACAGGGGTGGGGTGGGAATAGGGGGGGGCCCACAGATCAGTTTCGCACCGGGGCCCCATAGATTGTATGTACGCCACTGAATGTGGAATGTCCACATTAGAAATGGATAAGGAGGTGGTTGGACTGTGCACCCACAGCGTTCCTTATATAACTATAACTAATAAATCAGCATCTAGTGGTTATGGTGCCTAGACTGCTTTAACCAGAACTGCACAACCATTACACTGCACTGCCTGTAGTAGGGATGTTAGTGCATTATGTTATGTTTGTTACAGTATACCTTTTAACATTTCTTTGATACATTTGCTGACACCACGATTTTGAGCAGTCATTGGAAATGTATTTCCGTGGATCCAAGAGGTTTTTAACATCCTGAAGTCGTCCGATTTATCAAGCTCTGTTAAATGTATAAATACCACAATTAACTTTTAAAAAATCACATGAGTTAACCATATGGACACCCCTGGGTTAGAAGATTATTAAAACCTGTCTCTCCAAATAATATATATATATAACCTCATGCCTCTTCCTGAGTTGTGTTTCAAAGCTGCTGAATACAGCAGACACATACTCCAACGAATCCATGTATAAAGTGCAATTGTGAGGCAAAAATGTGGTTCTTGAGCTCATTTGCATACGCCTACCCAGAATCCCTTGCAGTAGTGAGAGCACTGTTAAAGTGAGATTTCTGTGGGAAAAGCAAGTCTTATGGCTTGACTGGTATGCAGACTTTTGTTTAACATTGTATTTATATATATATAATCTTCTTAATGCTATTAGGTTTGGAATATAATGATGTGTGTTGCTCATACATTTCATTATTTATTTTTTTCCATCAGGAGACCTTTAAAATCCCCACAATAGAAATTATCCTGAAAGTGTACTTACCAAATGATGAACAGATTAGAGTTGATGTTCTTACAACGGATACTGCAGAGCGAGTGCTCGAGGTAACTTAATATCTAATATACTACTAACTCTTCTCATCTTTTTTTTTTTTTTTTTTTCTGTATGGTCTAAACAGACAAAATGTGACCGAATATGGTGGAGTTACAATGACCCCTTTTATGTGCAGTGAGTTTTATGCCGACAGGTGCCAGTGTTGGAGAGCGAACTTGCAAAATTGACTTAAAGCCAGCTCTGCCTTTCATCCTCCTGAAGTTAAATAGCGTACCATTAAAGGGACACTATAGTCACCAAAACTACTACAGCTAAATGTAGTTGTTCTGGTATCGTACCTGCAGGCTTTTTGTTGTAAACACTGCCTTTTCAAGCAAAAGGCAGTGTTTACATTGCTGCCTAGTAACACAGCTAGCTGCTGTCACTCAGACAGCCAGTAAAGGTGCTTCCTGTGTCCGCGATGTTCAATGTCTCCACGCTCTGCATGGAGGCACTGCATGTTCCCTATAGAGATGCATTGATTTAATGCATCTCTATGAGGAGATGCTGATTGATGAGGTGGAGCCAGACAGAGTCAGCCACGGCGAGACTGGCGTGATGTGGGAGAAAGGGTGAGTAAAATCAAATTTTAAGCACGATCAGAGTGGGGCGGTTCACCTAAACAGCCACGTCATCACTGTAGTGTCCAGAATATATGTTTGTATTCCTGACACTATAGTGTTCCTTATAAGTTGGGTTATAATGGCATCTAGACCTCGGGATGTACTTGGAAGCTAGCGACCACCTAAATGCACACATTACTTAATGCTGTTAACAGTATCAAATTATTTATTATTCTTACTTACTATACCTGACATCCGTTTCACCAAACGCAGAGTCTTTTTGTAGCAGCAGTGTTTACACTAAAACAAACCACAATACAAAAAACAAGGGGAAAACTACAAGAAACGGCATTAATAAAAACACTATAGGTTTTTATTGTAAATGCTCCAACTAGGGCTGCGTATGTAACTATTTCTAGATCGCTGCTAGAACTGGAGATGTATAGGTTAATAACATGTATGGCCATTTCTATGCACACAAAGGAGTTTGTACAAGTAAGAAATCCTAGTTACTAAGCTGATTAGTAGAAACTGTGTGGAAAATGATTGTTCTCTTTTAAAATGCCTCTTTATGGAAGTGTACAGAGAGGGCCTAAAACAACACAAGGGATCACAGAGATCTACTAATACAGAGAGGGAGGAGGGGAGTTCCGCCTTTCTTTACCCTTCCACGGCAATCTGCCACGATGAACGGTATATGTGAGTGGCTGGGAGACCATCACAACAATTCTCCTACATCTAAATTATCACTAAAGTGATACACTGTGTCAGAGCTGCTGAAGTGTTAATGTCTGGGTTCTGACTCAAAATGTTCTCTCTGTGCAATGGGCCCTCAATGTCTGAATTAGTCAAAACTTTCATTGGCCACAAAGCAGCTGCCCATAGTAACTAGGTGCTGCTCATTATACTGGAGGGCGTATAATAAGGGTGTTTTTACATTGCATTGTATATTAAATAATATACTATGGAGAATACGTCACTGATGGGGGGGTTTTCTTGTTTTTTTGCTTTTGGTTTTAAGTAGCATTTAAACGTTAAAAAATAAATAAATAAAAATAAACTAAATATACATAACTCAAGTCCTTGTCAAACCACTGAGGTGCAGGTACCTTTTACTCTTGTACATAGCAGCAGGTTCTCAGGCAGGCTTTATCTCAAGCAGTAAATATTTAAGATCAGACTGAATAGCAGGTCTAGCCTGTTTTTCTTTCTTGTTGGCTTCAGTGTAACCGAGTAATCAGAGATCAAATACTGCAATAGAATATCCATGTGATGGAATATGGAGAGTTGGCAAAAAAAGTCTGTGTGCCCACCCCATCTCCAAGCACACTAATAGTCACTGCAGACAAAAAAAAAAATTTGATTAGCTTCTCTGCATATGCAACTGTCTAAGTCCCCTTTATAGCTCAAATTCTATTTGACAGTATGACCTTATTGTAAACCTAAAATAATTAAATAAATATGTGAATGACGCTTTTATGTAAAAACCCTTGATGGGACACAATAGGCATCAAGACCACTTTATCTCATTTAAGTGGTCTCGGTGCAGTATTCCTGTCCCTTTAACCCTGCAATGTAAAACATCTGCAATTTTAGAGAAACGGCAATATTTTTGCCTCTAATGGCTCTCTACCAGACATCCACTAGAGGCGCTTCCTTTTGTTTCACAGAGATTATCTCTGTAAAACGAGGCTGGAAGTTCTCACGCTTTGCATGATGACGTCCAGCGTCTTCATAATCCCCGCAGAAATGCAATGAGTTAATGCTTTCCTATAGCGAAAGCCTAATGTGCTGACCGCATATAAGCGCATTAGGATCCACTTCGCAATGATGTCGGAGCAAGCGGAGACGGCCCGTGCTGAGGGACCTCGCAGCTGGAATAAGGTAAGTGGGAAAAAAAGGTGTTTTTGTTTTTTTATTTAACACTTTCACAGCCACCGGCGAAGGGGGGGAGGGGTAGTGCGTTGGGGCACAGGGACACTAGAGAGATCTGTTATGAATACCAGCTTTGCATTCGTAACACTATACTGTAACTTTAAAAATATACATTCAATCTTCATAAAAGTTACATATTAATACTCAGCACACTTTAATTACACACATATCCAAAATTCAGCCAATTCCTTCCAGGGGTTAAAAGGTTAGCTGGAAGTCCTTTATGACCGACCGCAAGCACATTTTCATGCCCAAAACAGTTCCATAGATTTGGGTTGTGCGGTCGGTCTATTTCACACTGAAAAAATGACCATCGCCAAACGGGACTTAGTCTCTGTGGCTGCAAATTCAGTGGAGGAGAAGGTAAGGGTCAGCGGTGTTCGTTGAAATGCCCCGTTTCCTCCGGGATATTGGGGACAGAACAGACAACTGTATGTATACTAAGTCTTTGTCATAACTGGTAAAGCGAGTCTTTCTAATACAATGAGTTGTGTGTGTGTGTGTGTGTGTGTGTGTTCTATTATATATTCTAAATTATTTATATAGTACTCTTGTCCAGAGCCCTTTACAAAACTTTAACCTTTTTACAAACAGAAGGATATATAATTAGGCATACAGGCACAAAAAGAGTAGGGAATTTAAACATCGATTGCATTTTATTCTATGTGAGACCTACCCATGAGCTTACAATCTACAGACGTGTTTGTTAATATGAGTACATATATATATATGTATGTGTGTGTATATGTGTGTGTGTGTATATATATATATATATATATATAAATAAAAAATTGCAATATGGGAGTGCATTCATACAAAGTTTACGATTGTTCAGTAACCTTTATCATGCAACCAGGGAGAGAATACTCTGCGAACAAGGAGTTCTTTGAATGTTGCACAGATTGAATGTTTAGTATAGCTGTCTGTACTTAATTCATTCAGGGATTTTGTCCTAATACAGACACTTTTATATTCTTTTTAAGTATATATCTTAATGGGACATCCTCTGTTTATGCTAGTGGGCACCAAACTGGGACATCACAAGGGAGATCACCCACCACATTGCTTAGCTTGTAAAAATGGAGTTACTGAAGCTGCCATATCCATTGCAGGAGCATAACTGGGGACCGGTGAGGCCTTGGAAAGGTTTAAAGAATAGTGCCTATATGGCCCCTCTTCTAGCCCCGCCACCTCACATGCAACAGACTGGAGTTGGATATGTGTGGTGGCTGTGTGTGATTGTGCAGGGGTTGGCTGAGTTTGATTGCATGTGATATGTATGTGTGGAGTTGGCTGAGTGTGATTGTCTCGGGGTTGTGTAATATTTAATATAGAAAGACACATTTTAGAATAACAGTATATCTCTCACAATATTGATGCTTTTATCCTGACTTGAGTAAGACCAATGTAGAGGAAAATGCATGAACCTAATTCACCTACAGACCGTTGGTATACTAACATAGATTGCTTTCTTTTTTCTAAATGTATTTATTTTATTTTTTTATTTTTTTTATTTAGCTTGCACTGTTCAAGGCTGCCTTGTCCAGGGAACTAATGGAATATTTCAGCTTGTTTATTACACACAGAGAAAATGATGGTGGTATCACAGGTATTTTTAGGTTTTTTTTTTTTTATTTGACTTTGACAAACCAAGCCGTCATTGGTGAAGGTGTGGAGATATTGTAATTAATTATTGTCATTGAGATATTAGCCTCCTGATAAGGTGGGGGGAGGAGGGAGGGTGGGGGGTTGGGAATTTTAACTGGAAATTGGAATTGTATTTTAATTACAATGGGTGTAACAGATTCAGGTCAGCTTCCTCCCTGCTACCGTGGGACTCCTGGAGTACTTCAGACCCATTTGCCAAAGCTGAACTGGGGTCTCTAGGGACCTTTTCCACTCTAAGTGCTACTGTGGTATTAGCCCCTTTCTCTCAAAGCCTACTCTCCTGTACAAAAACAGTGATTATAGCCCTTTGCCCCACACATTAGGAGGTAAAATGAATAACCTTTATTGCACACATAGCACATCTATTTATACAGGAGGAATGTAGATTTCCTCTCCAAGGGGCCCTCCATACAATACAATGCCAGTACAGTAATCTACTGTCTGGAACCACTCTGACTGGGGTCTTAATTGTGTTAGTCCCAGCTAACGAGCGACTCCCTACTATGCCCTTTCAGATATGGAGGTGCAAAAATCCCCCAGAACCTCTTTTTGTGGACAGCACCCCCACACATCACAGCTCATCATCCTGAGCCTCCATTGTCCAAATAGCACCCCAACTGAAAAAGAGGCAAAGTATTAATGTTTCACCAAGCTGTGGCTATGATACGGTTGGTCCCAGTCTTATGAAAAAAGGGTTCCTGGAGTATTCCTAGATGCCTCGTCACCTCCCTGACATCCTCTCCAAATAGTGCCATGATTGGTGGTCGGGGGAATGAGCTACACCCGATCAAAGGTTCACCAGATCGCAGCACAGTTCCAATTTGGTGAATACCGTATTTCTCTGTGTAATGATCACAGATTTTATGCCTAATTCCTTTCCTTACAAATTGGGGTGCGACCATTATGTGATGCATTACATAGACAATAAACCTCTGTTCAGTATAAGATCAATCGGATATTCGCCATCCGTTTTCAAGAATAAGAATGTCTCACAACAAAAGGAGCAATAGTCAATCATGCGACTATTGCGTGATGAATTGGATTTGAACCAACTTTTGGACTGGTGACTATTATGCGGTTAAATACGATTCAGGGTGTCCCCTGGTCAGGTTATCTATAGGAATGAGTCCTGCCAATCCCCAAAGGTTCCCCATCTCTGACTGGGGGTAGAATAAGCAGGTAAGGACCTCCATACCACCTCAAGTCAAGAAAATGGGTTTTATGGCACGTGTATTTTAAAAACTAACATATGTAATTCTTGCATGTATTTCACGGTTCATTGTAGATTTATTTAAAGAAAAGGTAAAACAATATTCGTTTTTGTTTTCCTTTCTGCAGTGGTAAAACAAATTGCAGGTTTTGAGCTCCCATTTATAACCATCTGGAATATGGATGACGATTCATTTCAAATCGATATCAGAAAATGGTGAGAATCTTGAGAAATGTTTTTTTGTTAATCTTTTTTTCTTTGTACACATTAGTGTATGTAAAATCTATTCGCTGTAAGTTCTGTCTGGGTGATTTGCTAGCATAAAAATTGCAGGAATTCAAAGTAGTTTTCAAATTTTAGAACAATATAGCATAACTGGAAAAATGTCTTCATGTTTAAAGTGAAATAAAAAAAAATGTTGCTAAAATATATCCATTCCAACAATTCACACTATAGTGAATAATCGTGTGAGTCTTCTACAAATCCTCCTGCCAAATAGTTTATGATGAGAGTCTGTGCTTGTCAAGATCAAATTCTGGGATAGTTGCAGAAACTTTTTTTTTTTTTTTTTTTGAATTTCTATGCCCAAGGGATATTTTATAAAGTCTTGAGAACCTTCAGCTAAGCAGGGGATGCTCAACAGTAACCTACAAATCCTCCTTGAAGCCATATTTGTTTCCATAACACAGCCTTGCTGCCATCTTGTGGTGAACTAACAAACTGCTTGCACCTTTGCTCTGCTCATACCTTGTTGTTTCCCAGTTCTAAGAGAAAGGGGTGAGATAACCTCTGTGACATTTGCAGATGTATCCATATTATTATTAAAATAGCGCCAACAAAGGGCGGTGAAAAAGGGTCACAGCACCCAGACCACCTCAATGAGCTGAAGTGGTCTGGGTGTCTAAGGTGTCCCTTTAAAGAGGAGCTGCCCATTCCAAAACTGGGGGGGTAGGGGTAATTAACCTGGAGGTGTGAATACCCAGGATTGTCTCTTTAATATGATTTTAAATATATTTTTTCAGTTACATGAATCCTTCCACAGATGCAATGTTAATGGGATGTACAACAGCTATACACTTGCTGTATATACAGGTAATACTTTTAACCCCTTATGCTGTTATGCTTTTAACCCCTTATGCTGTTTTCTGAGTTTTGTTGTATCTCCTGTTCATTTGTGCCACTGCCCAACTAATGAAATAAAGGGAAATGCCCCAAAAGATATTTCACTATTTGTCCTGATTAAAGATATGCCATTAGGACTGAAACATTGTGTCAATAATCACCAACAAACCTCATACCTGTATATTATATACCTGTACTCACCAGTAGGCCCGCCCACTCCCTGTCCGTTAATTATCTTCCATTATTGGGAGGTGTGCAGCATTAGTCTCACCATAATCATTAAGGCATGGTTTAGAGAGCCTTTAAATGTCCCAATGCACAACTTGGTGACAATGTACTCTTTACATAGTCTGTCACTAAAGAGATTTAAATAAAAATAAAAAGTAATAGCCTATTATATGCGAGCGCTGGAAAATATGTGAATGCAATAATTGGAGATTTGTATTGTGCACACATCATATACAAGTGCAGAGACAATCTTGTGTACTTTTAATTTTTTTTATATATATATATTTTTTTATAACCTTAAAATCAGTATATTAAATTATAAATTAATATTTAATTGCCAGATCAGCTGTTTGTTTTGTTTACACTATGTAGATAATCACAACTGCAAAACATTTTTTTTATTTTTCCATTCTTTACTAAAGGCTGTTCAAGAATATCGGATGAATTGGTCGAGGCCAACAGAAGAACAACAAGCGAAACTACAGCAGCTTTTAGAAAGTGAAAATAAAGTAAAGGTAATCGTGCATCAGTAAAAAAGGTGCAGACATTAAGCAAAATTAACATAAATTTTAAATATCTGTGGATCCTTGCTTACATGTCACGCTATCTTTTTTTGATTACTTTAAAACTGAATTTATAATTGTTGGACAAAAACAAAAAAAACAAGCACAGCCTTGAACTATTCCTTTTAATTTTAAATAAGGCCACCACGTCCCAGATGTTATATATTCATACACACAAACCAGACCACTTTTTTTTTTTTCTTAATGCTTTTATGAAAAACCACATTGCCAGCATTGCGATGATTCAGGATTTATTGATATTAGATCACCCTTCCTTTGTCAACCCTACTTGGGAAACCTTTCATGAACTTTAGAACAGAGTGACATGTGTGAACACAGCAACTACAGCACATGTGCAGTAGTTGTTGTGATGAGCAGATGGGTATAAACCTCCATGCTTAGAAGGAATAGCTCACTATTAAATAGAATTTCTAATTCAGTTTACTGGGAATTGCTAAATTTTAGATCAATAGATCGCTTTGCTATATTTTACAACTTGTGTATATTGCCCAAAATAAGCAACTATCTTGTAATTTCTCCACTATGTCCATTTTAGTGAATAAAGCCATAAAGGTAGAATAGCAGCCGTTATTGATGTTTGTAAAGAGGTTAAGTGATATCTGAAGCCATTGTGATATCATGTTGTGCAATCTGTGTCTGTATTAATCCTGCTATGCTCTCTGTTACGTGTGATACAGTTTTTGCAGCTAATGCAGAATGTGGAGCGCTATGGACACATTCAACTTGGTGCCTGTACCAGCGATTACCCCAAGCCAGAGACGTCTGTAACGGTGTCTATAGGATATTTAGAAATGTATTGTTGCTTTCACACCTCCAATGGCAACAAAGAAATCCTTCAATTGCCAATCACTGATCTGAACTGTTGGCATGTCCAAATGTGTGTAAGTAGCCAACCCTATTCTTCCAGATCTTAGCTTCTAATTTAGTGCCAATTTAATCCCTTTACCAGTATAAAGCAAAGAATATTGACCGGAACATAAAAAGCATCCATCAAAAGCAAGGAAGTAATGTTCATACTTAAAGGAACACTGTAGCCACCAAAACAACTTTAGCCTAATGAAGCGGTTTTGGTGTATGGATCGCGCCCCTGCAGAGTCACTGCTCAATTCTCTGTGATTTAGGAGTTAATTCACTTTATTTATACAGCCCTAGCCACACCTCCCTGCATGTGACTTACACAGCCTTGCTATACATTACCAAAATCTGGACTGCCAATAATTCGTCTTTTATTTATCATTTATTTATGATGCAGAAACCAGTTCCACAGGTCTTTACAATGGTAAATCCATATACCTGTTGAAACAAGCAGTCAGCCTCTGCAGAGGACATGGGCAAAATCCCCCAGTGAAAAACTGACAGAACATCATAAGATAGAGAATGCAAGCAATAACAATGTATAAACAGGAACTCTCAACAAAGTTATAAGGAGGTCCAGGGCATCCAGCCAAAAATTCTTAAAGGACCACTCTAGGCACCCAGACCACTTCAGCTTAATGAGGTGGTCTGGGTGCCAGGTCCAGCTAGGGTTAACCCATTCTTTCATAAACATAGCAGTTTCTGAGAAACTGCTATGCTTATGAATGGGTTAAGCCTTCCCCTATTTCCTCTAGCGTCTGTCTCATTGACAGCCGCTAGAGGCGCTTGCGTGCTTCTCACTGTGATTTTCCATAGGATGCTTTCCTATGTGACCGGCTGAATGCGCGCGCAGCTCTTGCCGCGTGTGCGCATTCAGCCGACAGGGCGGAGAAGAGGAGGATCGGAGGAGGAGAGCTGGCACTATAGTGGTCCTTTAACTTTATTTCAAGTTGTTAAAATAATTACAAAATACTATGTATCAGCATTGGGAAATGGACAAAGTACATAGGTTAACTGTACTCCAATAAAATAAAGATTTATATGATTTGTGTTTGCTGGCATACTTCGATAATAACTACCAAATCTATCAAACCACCATCTCCATTTTTTTTTTTTTTTTTTATCTTCTTCACTCTCCCCCGTCAATTTCGACCTCAACAGTTTCCATAGTTATCTAAAAATGTATATACCTCTGCTGTTCTTGTAAATCCCTTAAAGAATCTGTATTTTGGAGGAAAAATACAACAATATAACTAAAACTATATATCTGTGAACACTAGTTGCTGTCATTACATACTCTTTGCTCTGACTGCATATTCCATTCAGTCTGTTTAAATCCATCTTTTATTTGGTTTATTTTCAGAATTCTGTGAAAGACAACTGTAGCATTGATAAGAAGCACCAACTAGAGTTCATGTTTGAATACATTCAGGCGGAAACAAAGAAATGTATTACCCTTCGCACGGAGCAGGTTTGTGTTCACATGTGTGTCTGCATGCAATGTTTTTTTTGTTTGTGGTTGGATTTTCAATCTATAGAACTTCTCCACATTTGTACCACATTTGTACCATCGACCTACCTGATAGAAACACTGCAAATATAAATGAGCTAACACATCGTGGGATTCATTAGGTGTTATACAAACATTGAGAAAGTGTGTGCATGTGTGTTGAGATGCAAAACAAAAAATATTCAAAACTACAATCGCTGCTGGGAGGTTATAAAAAGCATCTTCAAGATTAGATGTCAAAATATATGTTCTGTGTTCTTTCAAACTTCGAATTAAACAAACTACACACATCAACATTTAGCAAAGGTGACCTACCTTAGCAGGGTGACAATGTGTCCACTTATGAAAAAATTATCTAAAGAACTTAAATTCAAATAAAGGCAATTTCACAGAATGCACTTTTTATAAGCCTTGCTAATAAAAGCCCAGATGGCTTTTATGGGACATTTGTATTGTAGATGCCTGCTTGATCTCGATCATCTCCTATGATTCTTGCAGGCGTTCCTGCTCAGTACCTGTTTAAAGAAGATAATGATCGAACAGCCTGTAACTGGTACCAAAGAAGACTTGGAGATTGTAAGTAACTTGCAGCGGTGCTCAGCTTGTGTGAAATGAAGCCAGGGGAACTCTAATGTGATCAAATGTATATTTTTGTCTTAAACGACAATGCAGAACAACATTTAACCCATGTTTACAGGGGTTTGGGAGGTAAAGGGTCAAGGAGGTCCTTCAGTATTTGCTAGTGAATGGTCAATGAGAGAGTATTGTTTTCCACGTCACACTATAGTGCTTTATTCAGATACACAGTATAAACAAAAAATTAGTTCCAGAGAGATCTGAATTTTTTTATTTTTTTTTTATAACCCATCTCGAAGCCAATATTATTTATTTATTTATGTAAACTTTTTAAGCAGTAAGGTTTGTTTATCCAGTGTTAATGATATAAAAAGTGGCATATTAGGCTTTGTTAAAGGAAGAAAAAAAGTTAGGAGTACAAACTTGTAATCCTAACGCTTTTGTGTCCATGTCCCCAGTTTTTTTTTCAACCTCCCACCCCGTGGTTCCTATGAATAAAAAAATAAAACAGTTAAATAAAGGTTCACTTATCTTTTTCCAGGAACTGCTTACCTCTTGGTCCCCTGCAATGTCATGGAGGAGGCATGGCCTCTCCCGACATGGTCCAGTTCATTGCTCTTCATAAAGGAGCACTGGTAACCTGATGTGTATGCGCAGCGACTGCCACGTATGCCTCCAACCTTCTACATAGGAAAGTGTTGAATCAATAATTTCCTATGGGGGCCCCTGCACCATGTACCAGTTTCACTCAATGTAGCACAAACGACTCCAGTGACTATCACAGTAAACATGTCGACAAAACGGCAATCTTTTACCTAGAGTTGTTAAATTTACAGGAAAACTGCACCCAGGTCACTTTAATAAGATGAATTGGCCTTAGTGACCTCGATGCTCTTTTTAACCATTGGGCATTTATATTGGTCTTTTTGGTATGCTTCAGACGGATTTTGTTTTTTTCTTTATTATTTTTTTACGGCCCAAATCCTTGTGGAGATAATATGTGTGTGAATATATATTTATTGATTTAGAGATAGATATGTAAAGCTCTATCGACTCATCTGTGCGCTGCTGTGGAAACCACTGTAAGATCAAAGTATCTCTTTTTCAATATTCTCTTTGGTTATATACATTGCTAAGAAACCTGATTAATTTCAAAAATAAAATTCTTTTTAGCAGGTAGAAAGAAGGGCCTTAACCAAATTTAACACAAAATGTGCGCAGGTGAGTATTTATGGATGTTGGCATCGAGTAATCCTCCTGTTTACATATCACATTGATCCATACTGTACTGTCTGTATTGTCGGCGCTCCAAGGAGGGGGTAAGGCCCTTGTCAATTGTTAACCTTCCGAGTTTTGTCACCATTCTGTGTATGCATCATTTACTTGGAACAGATTGCTGCACAGTATGTTGAAGCCACATAAATAAAGGCTCATTATCATCCTGCAAAATATTTATAAATGCAATATTTCAAAGAAATTGGAGCAATATCCATAGAAACGGGTGCTGATTGCTCTACACTTAAGGCTTTTCTCAGAGTTAAACTTGGTCCTCAAAACCCATTGTTCATTATCCTCCAAGCACTGATAAGTCACACGCCAATAAAAACATGGGCTGTACAAAATGCACGGCTGTTCCTGAACTATAAATCCTGTGATCCTCTGCAAACATTTTTGCAGGATGACCATTATGGGTGATGGGTAGTTTACTACGAGCAGAATTGATCAATTTTGTCCCAATATAGTTTAAAGCAGCACTGTCATGCTGAACTTACCTTTCCCTAATCGCTTCCCTTTTCTCTCTCTCTCTCTCTCTCTCTCTCTTTTGGGATCTGTTCTTCTTTTTTTTCCCTATCTAATCTAGTTTTCTTTAAAACATAAGCAGGGACTACTTTGTCTTATGTATTTTTCCAATGCCTTTTCCCACAATACTCACCCTTTCCTCCGTGGTCTCGAGATGCCTGCTGTCAGTATTCCCGAACGTCCTGTCAGTTTGAAATTTCATTTGAATTAATGAAATGCCGATCTATTCGTGCCGCGGCTGCATCTTGCAGCCTCTTAGTAGATAGCTCCCTGATTCCCATGGTATTAGGGAGCTATCTACCAAAAGGTTGAAAAACACAGATCGGTCTTTGAGTCAGTTTACTAATACTAAGTAAAGATTACTTCGTATTAGTAAATTCTATCCCTACTCGCGGCATAGCGTGGCCTGTGGCTGCTCACTGTTGTAAAACTCCCCCCCTTACCCCTATCATAAATGACCCTATGGTAGGGTATCTATTAACTAGCGAGGGAGACATAGTGTCCCCCCCGAACCCCTACCCATGCCCCGTGAGTGGGGACTATTTAATTCAACGAGGGACATAGGGTGCCCATCTGGCCCCCACCCCATGAGTGGCAGGTGGGGGCCCTAAAAGACAATGGGGGGGACACCTATTGTCCTCCCCCAGCCCCGATACATGAGTGATGGGTGGGGCCCTAGAAGACAAAGGGGGAGACCTACTGGTTTCCCCCCACCCATGGACAACTGGTGGTGGCTAAATGAAAAATTCCCCCCCAGATAACTAGGGGTCCACAAACCCCTAGTCACCCCCCCACCATAAAAAATAAAAGAAAGCCCTACCTGCCACCCTCACCCTAAAATAGTGAGGGGGGAAACAATAAAATTAAATACCTGTAAATAAAAAAATAAAAAAACTTACCATTTAATGTCATTTTTCTAGAACCTTCTTTTTTCAGCTCAAAAAAAAGACTTATAACGCCTTCCCACGCTCTGCAATTTGACTCAGAGCGCTCTGATTGGTTGGTTTAAGCCAGCCAAAAGGAGTGCTCTGATTGGTTACCTGTAAAGGGCTATTTACCTATCAGAGCACTTTTATTGGTTGGCTTAGACCAACCAATCACAGCGCTCTGAGTCAAATTATAAGACATTTAATTTGTCTTTCTGATGAATGAATAGATGAAATTCCAGTCCGAATTTCGGAAAATAGCGAATGCCCCAGTGTTTTTACTGGGCATGCGCGGGAATTTTACATCGCTATCTAGTGTGGGCAGATGACGTGTCCCACAGGGGCTTCATCTGCTCACACAAAGATGGCGGTGCCCAAGACCTAGGTCCGGGCACAAAATAAAGATTAAAAAACAGGTTTAGGGGGATTTAGGAAGTAGGCTAGGGGGGCAATTAGATGTAGTGGAGTCTGAAGGGGTGGTGAAAAAAAAAACTGATGCGGCCATGACAGTGCCACTTTAAACATCTTCCAATTATGGAAGCGTTGCTTCAATTTCAAACCATTTGCCCAACTCTAAAACTGGCTCTGAGCACCAGACATAGTATATTTTTATCTAGACATAAAATCAATTTCTATGAATAGTTCTAGGTAATCGATCATACATGTATTCTAATGAATATATATAGGGGTTTTATTATTATTAAATAATAATTGTAGTGGTACATTCCCGCCAGTAGGGGGCAGATAATAAACTGTGCTTAAAACTTTATACCCATTGTAAATTCCTGTGAATATAAAAAATGAATAAAATCCCCATGTAAACATTGTTTTGTTTTTTTTCCCTTGCAGAAAGAACTACATATGAAAAAGAGTCCCTTTTCACCAAAAACAAGCGAAAACCTGGTGTTTGATGAATTCACTGATATTCATCTATAATGTTAGGCAAAGTTTATTGCAGTTATTCACTAAACTCCGAATTTTAGCAGAATTGTTGAATTCAACTTAAAAAAGTCATTTGTGATTAGAGAATAGTGGGTGAATTTATTCCAGATTTGGATTTAATGTGCAAAAGTTTAGAGTTTACAGACTAAATCTCTAAACATTTTGCTAGACTTTACATTGCTGGCATTTAAACATGTCTGTAATTTGGGCAAAGTGTAAAACAACACGTAGTGCTAATTCCAAAAGCTTATATCCAAAGATATTTTGTTAATCTGAAATGATTGGTACATTCCCAATGAGGGGTATACAGCATTTAGTGCACTTCCTTAGTATTGACAGTATATTGTAATGGAACTAATATGAAAAAAGCTAGAACGGTCACCCAGCGCTATAAGCAATAGTATTGATTTATATCTGAAGTGTGAATGCCTGGTCAATTATCAACAGAGATTATTGAAGTGGCTATTGAAACACGCAAAAGGATTTCCTTGTATTACCCTATACACCATCAATTACATGACTTTGTTTTGTGATTTATATTTTTAATGTATTTTCCAAGCAGTGTATATTTTGACGTGTGTATGTTGTTAATAAAGATATCTATTTTGGTATAGTACTCAATCTAGCATTTGTATTTTCAAGCATGTACACTGTAAATAGATATTTCCTTGTAAGAAAATAATAAAAAATATATATATATATAATTTCTCTAAAGCGTCTCAAAACGTTTGCTCAGCCAACTTGTTCAACTAATTTAGCCATTTGTCTTATTGTTCTTTTCTGTATTGAATGATGCACTGTTTTTGCTCGTCTTGTACTGAGCTATTATTTAAGAGTTAGGCCAAACAAAAGCCAGTATTTAATAAAACCCTGGTCTTGATTAAAGTAACCCTTGCAATGCTGGGTGCCCAAAGTTAAAGTATAAACAGAGGCCAAGTTCTCCCTCTCCCCCTGACTATTCTCCTTCACTGATGTCAATTCCCCTTCCTGTCTGGGGAGGAATGAATGGAGAGGGCACTGACAGCACAGGTGGTGGGTGGCATATCTGCATTAAATGTCTATTGCCAGAATGCTTTGTGTGCTGATGACAGACACCACCAAATCGGCACAGAATTAGTCGGCCCCAATGTCACTCTTGAAAGTGGAGTTACACCTCCGGCAGCAAAGTGGTTTAACTTACCATAGCGAAATGCTACATATACTCTAGGAACCATGACCACTTAATATCACTGAATTGATTTACAGTTTAATTATTGATTTACAAAAAATATTTATAGCGAAAGAAATTCATATTATGTCCTCCAAAGGACAATGAAGTAATACTAGTGTACAGTTCTTCTCTATTTTAGAAGAAAACTGGTTTCCAGCATTACTACTCTCTATGTACATTGTATCTACATAGTACAAGGTGAGAATTAAACCAGTATATATACTAAGGAATATTTAAAGTCCGTGTTTTAGTTCTCAAATTGGGGAAGCACTTGATTATCAGAGTATTTATACTTCTAAGTTTTGCAGTCTTTTCTTATAGCCACTCTATTAATCAGACATTTGGATGTATTTTTTTATTTTATTTATACGGATTATTATGATGCACTTCAATTTTTTTAATTTTATTTATTTATATATATATATATATATATATATATGCGTTTTAATTCAGTAGGGAGCTTTATCAACAAAACAGATAATATTCTAGTTGCAAAGAACGAAATGATGAGATACATTGCATTTTGCACCAGAATTTCTCCATCTTTACTGTTATAAACCTCCCCAAACATGTACGATTACGTCAGATCGTAATGAATAATCATGTATTATACTTTTTAAGAACTTAAATTTATGTACTTTTTTATTTCCGTATATTTGTAAAATATGTTATAAGTAGGTTTGTAAAATTGTGAATCAGAAAGCTCTACAACAAACAATTCATAAGAGCAGCAATATTAAAAACAGTAAAGTTTGTAACTATGTACAGTATACAGTTGCAAGAAAGTATGTGAACCCTTTGGAATGATATGGATTTCTTCACAAATTGGTCATAAAATGTGATCTGATCATCATCTAAGTCACAACAATAGACAATCACAGTCTGCTTAAACTAATAACACACAAAGAATGAAATGTTGCCATGTTTTTATTGAACACACCATGTAAACATTCACAGTGCAGGTGGAAAAAGTATGTGAACCCCTAGACTAATGACATCTCCAAGAGCTAATTGGAGTGAGATGTCAGCCAACTGGAGTCCAATCAATGAGATGAGATTGGAGGTGTTGGTTACAGCTGCCCTGCCCTATAAAAAACACACACCAGTTCTGGGTTTGCTTTTCACAAGAAGCATTGCCTGATGTGAATGATGCCTCGCACAAAAGAGCTCTCAGAAGACCTACGATTAAGAATTGTTGACTTGCATAAAGCTGGAAAGGGTTATAAAAGTATCTCCAAAAGCCTTGCTGTTCATCAGTCCACGGTAAGACAAATTGTCTATAAATGGAGAAAGTTCAGCACTGCTGCTACTCTCCCTAGGAGTGGCCGTCCTGTAAAGATGACTGCAAGAGCACAGCGCAGACTGCTCAATGAGGTGAAGAAGAATCCTAGAGTGTCAGCTAAAGACTTACAAAAGTCACTGGCAAATGCTAACATCCCTGTTAGCGAATCTACAATACGTAAAACACTAAACAAGAATGGATTTCATGGGAGGATACCACAGAGGAAGCCACTGCTGTCCAAACAAAACATTGCTGCACGTTACAGTTTGCACAAGAGCACCTGGATGTTCCACAGCAGTACTGGCAAAATATTCTGTGGACAGATGAAACCAAAGTTGAGTTGTTTGGAAGAAACACACAACACTATGTGTGGCAAAAAAAAGGCACTGCACACCAACATCAAAGCCTCATCCCAACTGTGAAGTATGGTGGTGGGGGCATCATGGTTTGGGGCTGCTTTGCTGCGTCACGGCCTGGACGGATTGCTATCATCGAAGGAAAAATGAATTCCCAAGTTTATCAAGACCTTTTGCAGGAGAACTTAAGGCCATCTGTCTACCAGCTGAAGCTCAACAGAAGATGGGTGTTGCAACAGGACAATGGCCCAAAGCATGGAAGCAAATCAACAACAGGATGGCTCAAACAGAAGAAAATACGCCTTCTGAAGTGGCCCAGTCAGAGTCCTGACCTCAACCCGATTGAGATGCTGTGGCATGACCTCAAGAAAGCGATTCACCCCAGACATCCCAAGAATATTGCTGAACTGAAACAGTTCTGTAAAGAGGAATGGTCAAGAATTACTCCTGACCGTTGTGCACGTCTGATCTGCAACTACAGGAAACGTTTGGTTGAAGTTATTGCTGCCAAAGGAGGTTCAACTAGTTATTAAATCCAAGGGTTCACATACTTTTTCCACCTGCACTGTGAATGTTTACATGGTGTGTTCAATAAAAACATGGCAACATTTCATTCTTTGTGTGTTATTAGTTTAAGCAGACTGTGATTGTCTATTGTTGTGACTTAGATGATGATCAGATCACATTTTATGACCAATTTGTGAAGAAATCCATATCATTCCAAAGGGTTCACATACTTTTGCTCAATCATGCTGTTCTGAACAAAAATTGGCAAATGGTTGGTATTTACCATTATTTGCTCACTGCCTGCCCTTAAATTTGCAAAAGGTTGTGCATAGTACAAAGAACATTTATTGGAGGCCTTATGCTGACGTGTTATAATTGGTGGAATAATTGCCTGAACAGGTATGGGAATCTAGGATATTGTAAAGTCTTCTTTCCTCCACCTCCCCCCAACAGGTCATGACACTACCTTATTCAAATAGGAAATCATTTTATGATCTAAACAGCCACTGTGTTCGATAAAAAAAACCCACACAAACATAGTTTTCAAAGCAGTGCATAAAACTATATTGGTACCAGCTGTGCAACATACCAAAGTACCATATGTTCGTTAATGACATTTTTGTTAAGAAAATATTTATTCATTATTAGCAATTTGTTTCGGTCTGAATGTAAATTTGGACTAATTTCGGCAATTCAGACATTCGGATACTTCCGAATTTCCGAAGTGCCGTACCGAACCGAAATGCCGAATTTCGGAAGTGCTGAAGAGCTTTGGATTTCTGAAAAGTGGCAAAACAGGAGAGGGAGGGAAAATTAAGGGAACGATGACCGTAATCTAACCCTAATCCAACCCTTAAGCCTACTCCTAACCCTAGCCCTAAGCCCACCCTTAACCCTACTGAGGTTAGGTTTAGGGGTAGAGGAAGGTTGGGGTTAGGAGTAGGGTTAGGGAACTGCCAAAGTCCCGAATTTCGGAAGTGCCAAACCGAATCTTTTGCCCATGCACATCCCTATTCATTATTGTTTTTATGTGTTCTGCAAGTGGTACCAAAGTTTACAGGAACTCTAAGCAATATAGCCAATACAGCTTGGTGCAGTGGTTATGTTGCTTAGTGTCCTGACACTGCACCCCTGTTTACCGTCATACCATGTAGGAAAAGTTTGATGTAGATCAGAGCTTTTTCCAATGATTATAGACCGCCCCTTCCTTTGTCATATAGATCATGTGGAATTCACACTTTTGCGTTTTCCATGTTTATTTTGTCAAACCAGGATGGCATTAATTGGCTTAGATAGTTGTGCTAACCTGTCCCCATCAATTTCATCTATTCACTGCTGTCTAGGTTGGACGAAAATAACACCAATAACACTGGTGTATTAATTCCACATTACCAGTTATGTTTCCGGGTGATAGGGTGATCCTTTATGTCGAAATGTTCCTAAATAATTTGACATTTAAACCAGGAGGCGGCACCAAAATGCTACACATAGTGGGACAGTAACATGGAAAGATCCAGAGTAAATGTTAAAGGTTGGTTTTTCCTAAAGACTTCCCCAGGCTCATAGGTTTACATGCATGGTAGTATCTGTGGAAGAACAGGAAGGGAGATATATTTACCTAAATCTCCCCCTCCTCCATGCTGCCTTCTTCAGCTCCTAGTAAATAAGCCACTAGGAGGCTCGTGGCCGTAAAGGGGTCTACTTTCTATTCCATGGTGTCCCATGGTTTTATTTATCTTACATTCTGTTCTATTGCTCTTCTCTCCACGGTTTACTTATTTCTCCTCCATGTTGTTTCCATAGTCTCCCTATAACTCTCGACCTCTTTTCCATGCTTTCCCTAATTTCTCTTCCCCTCTTGTCCCTGCTTAACCTCTAAATGCAACCAAAACTTGAACCATTAAACTGACACCCAAGCACCATAACCACTGCATTGCTATGTAGTGGTTATGGTGTTAAGAGTGTCTGGGTTCAACCAACTCTCCATGAGAGTTAGAAGCTCTCTACCTGAGCTAAGCCCACGACTTCCATCATTCGCTGAAGGCAATCAGCAGACACATACAGCCAGTGAGCTGGTCCAGCACTGCAGGGCTTGGGGTAGGGAGAGCTGACGGAAGCTCCTAACATAAACACCTGACCCTCAATACGGGAACGGAATGGGTGACTGGACTAAACTGCATTGTGATGTCACTTGCTAGATTTTTAATGTACACAAAGGTATCTTTTTCTAAGGGAGCCTGCGTAATTTTTGACCCACTCCCTTATTGCTGCATGAGACACATATTTATAGGTCTCTGTCAGCACCAGACAGATTTATCAATGTGTGCTTAAAGGACCACTATAGGCACCCAGACCACTTCAGCTTAAGCAGAACTTTCTGGGTGCCAGGTCCAGATAGGATTAACCCTTTTTAAATTTTTTTTTTATAAACATAGCAGTTTCAGAGAAACTGCTATGTTTACACTGAGGGTTAATCCAGCCTCTAGTGGCTGTCTAGCGGCTGTCTCATTGAAAATCACAGTGAGAAGACGCCAGCGTCCATAGGAAAGCATTATAAATGCTTTCCTATGAACTGGCTGAATGCGTGCACGGCTCCTGCCGCGCATGGGCATTCAGCCGATGACGTCGCAATGAAGGAGGAGAGGAGGAGAGCTCCCCGCCCGGCGCTGGAGAAAGGTAAGATTTTAACCCATTCCTCTCCCCAGAGCCCACTGGGCTCTGGGGAGAGGATTGTTTTCCTGGCACTATAGTGGTCCTTTAATAATTTCACTACAGTGAAACCGCATGAGACGCATTTTTCCAGTTTCTACCAGCAAGGGCAACAATTCTTCTTATGAAGCATATTGCAACATTGTTGTTTTAGACAACACTGTGCTTTATCTTGCATTCATTAAAGGGACACTATAGTCACCCAGACCACTTCAGCTCAATGAAGTGGTCTGGGTGTCAGGTCCCTCTAGGGTTAACCCTGCCTGATGTAAACATAGTAGTTTCTGAGAAACTGCTATGTTTACATCTGGGGTTAAGCCAGCCTCTAGTGGCTGTCTTCGGGACAGCCACTAGAGGCGAATCGGCAATGATTGAGGCATATTATGCCTCAATCACGCAGAGTGTCCATAGGAAAGCATTGAAAAATGCTTTCCTACGGACACTTTGAATGCGCGTGCGGCCAAGCGGTTTTCCTGACACTATAGTGTCCCTTTAAGGTACCTCTTTTTATGGGAGTCTGTACAATTCCTACTCACTTCCTCACTATTACTGATTTTAAATTATAATTATTAAAAGCTAATTTTTAAAATTGTTCTCAGTACACCTTGGTCTGGGTAAACCTTGTTTCCTTTTTTTTGTTGTTTACATACAGGGATCATGCCCATCTTGCACTGAGACCAGACACTATTTTTTTTTTCTCTCACCTCTTCCTTAAGTTTTTTATGTACATTTTAAAAGAAAATGGAGCATCATATAAAAAAAAAACAAAAAAACACACACATTGTCTTATTCAATAGAAATTATATATTTTATTCCTAAAAGAAAATTATATTTTTTTTCTTTAACCCCTTAAGGACACATGATATGTGTGACATGTCATGATTCCCTTTTATTCCAGAAGTTTGGTCCTTAAGGGGTTAAAGGAACACTCCAGTACCATAACCACTGAAGCCCACTCTAGTTGTGACGTGGCGTTTGAAAGAGTAACTTACCTGGTTGCCATTAGGCATTTATAGCTACAAACCTTATTAGCCTAACTGAGCAAAAGTGGTCTGTTCTGATTTGCTGAGAGTGTCTGCTGTGCTGCCAGCCATGCTGCTTAGTGCAATGAAGACACCCTCCAGGAGAAGCCTTCAATGTGAGTATCAGGGCCCTACTGGCACCATAACCACCACAGCATGCCCTGCAGAACACCTACAGTAATTTCCTGACTGTGCGTGCAGTACCCCTGTCTGCCAGTAGATGTCGCCCGCCCTATTCCTCCGGCTGGTGCAGTACTCGGTGCTGACGGGCGGTGTCGCTGTAGTTCCTGCGCTCACTCTGTGGTCGCCCCGTGTTGTTGTTGTGTCGGTGGCCGGTCCCTCCCGCAGCATTGCTCACCGCGGCCCCGATGATCCGGCTGTCACAGGTAGGCCGAGCTGTGTGACCGGGGCGAGGGAGAGCCATGGCAGCGGTAACCGCCAGGGCCCCGGTAACAGGCCAGGTGTGGGCCCTGCAGGCTGGGGCTAGGTGGGGATAGCCAGGGATGGCTGCCAAGGGTGATGGACTAGGTCTCCTATCATGCCTTTAGATGGATGAGCATCATGGGAATAGTAGTCTGCAATCCTGGGAGTGCCAGCTGTGTCAGGGGGTCGGCAACATGTCATCCCATCATGCTCAGCCAGCCAGGGGCACAGTGACAGGACAGTGCTAGTGGGCAACCTGACATTTCCTTTCTAGTCCATGATTTCTGGGGGTCTGGGAGAGGGGGGTGTGATTATATAAATACATACTTTACTAGAAATGATTACTTCGCTGTGCTTTTTATAATGGAGAATTTGTTGAAAAAACACATCTTTGCATCCCTAATGTTTACCAACTGCATTCCCTTTGATGCTCTGACAACCTTGTGATCATGAGACAAAATTATATTTTTTTGACTTTTTTTTTGTGTTCTTTGGGTGAGAGAGAGATCATTTGAGAGGAGCATGATGTCTAAGTAGGAGGTGGCAATTAATGTAAAACATTTTATACTTAATTTTTTTTTTAACATTTACAGTATTGATTAATTGTAAGTTTCACTAAGATGCACATCTAGTGATAAACATTCCTAAATATTTATTTAAAATACGTTGGCATCTGATTTAATTGGGCAGACTAGATGGGCCGAATGGTTCTTATCTGCTGTCACATTCTATGTTTCTATGATACTGTATAGCATCCTGTCAAGTGCTGTCAATGTGTGTTTCCTTTTGTATAGGGTCAGTTTTATGGGGTTTCTTTTTTTATACACACTTCAGAAATGTTGCTATGAATGGCTGGTGTTTGTTTCTATGTGCCCCTAAAACCAGATAGGATCTGTTTTCTTGGACCTGTGAGAATAAGTGAGTGGGGTCTGACTTGGCATTTTCAGAATAGGTGGGAGCTGGGCCTGCACCTGTATGTCAATGGATGGGACATATAAATACATTTATTTTTTAATGAAATACTTGTAGCAGGCTTTTTGTAGTGGTTATGATCAGATGTCCGATATTGTGTATTGTCTCTATTTCTGAGCGGTTTGACAAAAATTGGGCCTCTATTATCCAAAGTCAGATCCCGCTGCAGTTTCACTTCCGCCTTATATGTCCAGCCTGCAATGATGGGCACTGCGTGCTTGGAAAGGTATGATAGGAAACTGTAAATGGCACGGGGAGACCAAATGCACTATAGCCTCTACCATGTCCTGTAATGGTTGAAGCCCCCTCTCTGTTAAAGAGTTATTCTAGGTACCATAACAATTTTAAGTCATTGATGCGTTTATGGTGCCTGACATTTCTGGACTCCATCTCCCTTTTCATTGTTAAACCATTTCCAAATAGTTTAACAGTGAATCAGTCACAGGATGCCCTCTGATGGAATGGCTAAAGAGGCGTTACACAAACGTTTGCTTTATCAAATCATAAAAGCAATAGTGGACAGTGATACATTGAGAGCACTCAGCTGATGCTCCCAGATTATCACTGCCTGTTACATTATATGATTTGGTATGGCTTAAGAAATGAATGCCCCATTCTCCAGACACCAAAAAAACATCCATGAGTTGAAATGGTTATGGTGCTTAGAGCATTCCTGTAAGACCCAAAACAAACAGAATATTTTTGCAACATAGTTTCGAACAAAATGCATGTCTTTATTAATATGGGGCTGAGGGCTATGATGCATCTAGCAAATGAAAACCTGTAGCAGTCAATACAGCACATACGTAGAACACACAACTTTCTATGTGTTTGCAGTCTGGGAGATAAAAGAAAACATTAAAGGGGACTGACATTAGAGGTTTGTACTGATTAACAAAGGATGTTCAAGAGCAATGTTTTTAAAGTGTGCCTGCCATTTTATAGAGCATAAAATGAAATCTATACACAGGTATGAGACTTGCTAACAAATGTATAGACTGGAAGTAAAACTTATTGAAAAATTTATATTTTTTTCCAACTATCAGACATCTATTCCAAAGAAATGACTCATGTGGAGATCATTAGAGACCTCCTTTAGACAGTCCTCCTGCTTTCCAAGAATAGCAAACAGTGCATATGCCGTTCTTGAAATGGATACTCCCTAGCCACTACTGGTGCTAGCTGGGGAGTATAGGAGTGGATTGACTGACGTCACTCAGTGTAGACACTAGCATGCTGCTGTTGGAGTCATGGAGAAGGTTTTAGTCAGGACAAATCGAATAAAAGAGCCGGCAGTCTCTGGGTGGTTTTACAATAAAACTAAACAACTAAGAGCAAGACGTGGCAGCACTGGCTCAAAATTGAGGTACACTTACATTTTAATATATTTTATTGAATACATAATGTATCTTATGATAAATGATGTATTCAGTGCACAAGGGTGTATTTTTGATTAAAGGGTTTCTCCGTGCATTTAAAGTGGTCATGGTGCCTAGAATCAGTATTTGCAGCATTTCAGTGTGAAACACTGCAGATATGGAGTTAAACCCATTTGTATTTTCATTCTGGGCTAGCTGCTGCCAGTTATGTGCAAATTGCCATTCACTGGCTGGGAGTGGCCTCCGCAGAACCCAGAAGCTTATCACCAGCGTTGAATGGAACCTTGGATCCCGTCTGGCTAAATGGTTTGCACTATTAATGGAGAACCGGGCCATGTTACTCCTGGCATCATAAATATAGTTTCAGTTCCCTGTTTTTCAAAAACAAATAGAAGAACTAAAAAGGGCACACAATTGAATGAAATTCACCTCTGAAGCAAAAAAAAAAGAGTTTTATTGAGGTAGTAATTTCATAAAGTGTCTTAGTGAAGAAGCGTTAAGTCCAATTAAATTAGGCCACACTCCTTATAAACTGACTAAGGAATAGGGGCTAGTTACCAGCAGGCTGTAGTGGTTAGGATTCTTGGAGTAACCCTTGAAGTGAACTAGTCTTGACACAATTGTTTTATTATCTTGGGGATTGTCCTCTGATGTGTATTGTTTGTCTCTATTAAATGAATTTGAGCTATATAGAATGGTAGATATACAAACACATTTAATATTCAACATAAAATAATTAAACCTGCATGAAAAAAAATATCTTCAAGCAAAATACGACGTGACCCCCAACTTTGCATGCATGCTGTTTCAGGTAGATGTCAAAAACTAAGCTTTTGCTAGCCTTGCAGTCTATTTTTACATATTTTAATTATATATTATGTGACAGATGTTCTCTGTGTGTTTATGCATGAACAGAAAAACACAATCTGTATTGATTGTACTAAATTATAAATTGGTACATGGGTGAGACAGACACTGAGAGACAGGTTGACATTGGGAGACCGCAATAATGGAAGACAGAGAGAGAGAGAAACTGAAGGCAGAATTGTAGAGTGACCCAGATTCTGATGGGGAGACAGTCCGAAAACAGCAACATACACTATGGAAATGGGAGCTTATCACATGTAAACTGACACTTAGCATGACAGACAGAGACAGCACAAAAACCAGATTAACACTGAGAGTCTGACGAAGAAAAATTATGTTTTTATATACCTTCAGTGATATTTGTGATTGCTGCATTCATTGCATACTGTGTATTGGGGACCTCCCTGCACCATAACCTATGTAAATAAAAATTGTTTTGTTTTGTTTTTTAGTATCTACTTTGCAACCTGTTGGTATTTTCGTTTTACTAGTTACACACTAGTGATCTAGTGGAAAAAAATGTGTTTGTGTGTGTGTGTGTATTTTCTTAATCTGTTTGTATTGTACTCCACTTTCTTTGAGTTGTATTAAAATGATGCACTCATACAGATACCTCCCAACGTTGGAAGTACCGTACCGAATGTGGAATGTGAGTGGGGTGTGTAAAAGGGGCAAGTAACATGTGGCTGACAGCTGGCCAGACCCATCTTAGGAATGTCCATATGTAGTATTTTGTGTAGTTACTTCTCTAACAATCTATGTATGTACAGCGTTTCAAAGCAAAATAATGTACATCCAGGCACAATGACCACTTCACATCACTGAAATGGTCATGATGTTTCGAGTAACCCTTTAATCTATACTATCCCCAGTAGAGGGACATCGGAGAGCTACCCGAGATTGTGGTACATGAATCCAATATTGGGGCTGACCTACTTAATCTAGGATTGGTGGAAGGTATGTGTGCACATCAAACAATCTGAGCTCCCAGAATGGTTTAGGTTGGGTTTGGAGTCCAATAAAATGTCCTAAAGAGGAAAATCTGGATGATTTGTTGTAAGAACGATCTAATCTGCTGCCTTTCTTTTGAAACATTTTTGTCATGTTGTGTGTAAGATTCTATTCTCTATTCTGAATTGTCTTTACGCTTGTTCTCCATTTTAAATTGCAGTGGTAGAAATATCGAACCTCAAGAGTGCAGCTATGTCCTACATCTTTGTGAATGACTCCTCCCTAAACAACGTGCCCCTGCTACAGGCCTGTATCGATGGAGACTTCAACTACTCTAAGCGACTTTTGGAGAGCGGCTTTGACCCCAATATTCGTGACATACGTGGACGCACCGGCTTGCACCTGGCGGCAGCCAGGGGGAATGTAGACATCTGTCAGCTCCTTCATAAATTTGGTGCTGATCTGCTTGCTACAGATTACCAAGGAAACACCGCCCTGCATATGTGTGGCCATGTAGACACTATTCAGTTCCTCGTTTCCAATGGTCTAAAAATTGATATTTGGTGAGTATAAATTTCATGCTGAAGCTGGAATAATTAGCGTAATTAATATTAGTAGGATTTTTTTGTTAAATATAGCCACGAGGGGTTGATGATGTCAAGATGAGAACAAGAAAAGATGGGGTGAGGCTACATGTGTTGGGATTTAACTCTTAAGACTAATATTTTTAGTGCCCTCCATTAAATATTATAATGTATATACTGATGTGATATATATGGAGAAAAGTGGAGAACGCCTGAAGACAGAAAAAGAGGTGGTGGGGGACTGTTTGGAAGAGGACGTGTAAAAAAATAAATGCAGATTGTTTTTGGTGCTTCCTGTGTCCATTTTAAGTCTTAGATTGGTTTCTTGTCTCTACTTCTACTCTGCTAAATAATAATAATAGTAGTAAAACATCAGACCTGGTCCTCTGGTTTTATTGCACGCTATATTTGCAGATCACTTTGAATATTTTTTAATAAGATTTCTTAGTCCAGATAACTTATCTGAATGGTTAAAGGTTTATAGATATTTGCCTAAGCACCTGTCAGGAAGTGGATTAAATAAAAAGTTAGTGTCTCTTTTGGTAAAGACAGGAATTGATTTAAACGTCGCAGATCACATGTAACACCTTATAGTGCAATAGTGCAGTATTTGTATGAATGTAGTATACCATGCAGAGATTGGAGCCACATCACATGAAATACTACTGAACTCAGGAACTATATCCATCAGTCTTTACAAATGTTATTTTAAAAAACGACCGTGTTTAGTTTATGTATCAGGTAGTTTTACTCGCAAATATATAGATTGTAAATCTAATTACATTTGACTTTACGCCTTTGTACTGTGGACTTCTATAGTCAGAGCATGTAAACCAAGTACTGTGTGAAGCCAGGGAGAATGATTATGAACAGATGACAAAATAAGGTTTAAGATTACTCCCCATACCTTAACTAAACCATCTCCAAATTCCCAAATAGACTTTACATTAAAGGATTTTTAATTGTATATTTCCATATCCCCTATGTTTAACAGATTCTGTATTTAACAAATATCTTTAAAAAAATAAAATGTAAACATAGAAATCCAAGCCTCTTTAATCCTCAGCTGGGTGCCTCCATCTTGGCTTCCTGTCAATCATTGTTATTATAATTTTTATTATAATTGACATTTATATAGCACCATCTTATTCGGCAGCAGTATTTTAAAGGGGAAATTGTAACAATAAATGAGACAATTACAAAATGTTACAGGAACAATAGGTGCTAAAAATTACCCGGCTGGGAGGAGAGGTCACTGACGGCAGTGAGGGAGCTCAGTCTGTTATTACTGTTCCTCACTGCTCACACTTGTGCGCCCTCTGTGGTGATGCTGGGTCCTGAAATATGACGTCATTCCGGCCCGGCATCACTAAACTAACGCGCGTGAGTGACCAGTGAGGAGCAGGCTGGGAGACCTCTGGGAGAGGCCCCACACTACCTCCTAAAGGTAGGGAGCAATAAGTAAAATGATTTGTGAGTGTGTGCAAGAATGTGTAAATGTGTGTCTGCCTGTCTGTGAGTGAGTCTGTGTGTGTGTGTGTGTGTGTTGCGATGGCCGCAACTGGACAGTGGAGGACCTGGAGGTGCACGGAGGCATGCAACGCAATGTCACATTCAGACATGACGTCAACGTGCTCCACCTTTTCAAGGTTTCAAGTAGAGGGAGGATCCACTTTGGCACAGGGTGCGGACGGTGCCATTGGGGGTATACCAGAGGCTGTACTCTGGAATCGCATACTGACAGCGGCATTGTGAGTGGAGTCTGCTTGTTAGCTAATATTGTTTTGGTTTTTTTAAACAGGGGGTGGGGTTTGGGGGACGACGACTGGAATTTAGTATAGAGGGGGAGAGTGGAATTTAGTATAGAGAGGGGAGAGTGGAATGAGTATAGGAGAGGGATTTAGTATAGGGGGGACTGGGGTTTAGTATAGGGGAGAGTGGGGGTGGGGAGAGGGGTTTAATATAGGGGGTTTAGTATAGAGGGGGGACTGGGGTTTAGTATAGAGGGGGACTGGGGTTTAGTATAGAGGGGAGAGAGGGATTTAGTATAGGGGGTTTAGTATAGAGAGAGGACTTTAGTATAGAGGGGGGAGAGTGGGGTTTAGAGGGGACTGGGGTTTAGTATAGGGGGGACTGGGGTTTAGTAGGGGAGAGGGCTTAGTATAGAGGGGAGAGTGAGGTTTAGTATAGGGAGAGTGGGTGAGGTTTAGTATAGAGGGAGAGTGGGGGTTTAGTATAGAGGGGAGAGTGGGGTTTAGTATAGAGGGGGAGATGGGTTTAGTATAGAGGGGGGACTGGGGTTTGCTATAGAGGGGAGGGTGGGGGGTTTAGTATAGGGGGAGAGGATTTAGTAGGGTTTAGTATAGAGGGGGAGAGTGGATTTAGTATAGAGGGGAGAGTGGGGTTTAGTATAGAGGGGGACTGTGGTTTAGTATAGGGGTTTAGTATAGAGGGGGGGACTGGGTTTAGTATAGAGGGGGGACTGGGGTTTAGTATAGAGGGGAGAGGGATTTAGTATAGAGGGGGAGAGTGGGGATTTAGTATAGAGGGGAGAGTGGGATTTAGCAGAGGGGGAGAGGGGGGTTTAGTATAGAGAGGGGGCTGGGGTTTAGTATAGAGGGGGAGAGTGGGGTTTAGTATAGAGGGGGAGAGTGGGGTTTAGTGTAGAGGGGGAGAGTGGGGTTTAGTGTAGAGGGGGAGAGTGGGGTTTAGTGTAGAGGGGGAGAGTGGGGTTTAGTGTAGAGGGGGAGAGTGGGGTTTAGTAGAGGGAATATTTTCTTTATACTGTACTTTTCAAAATAAACCTACATTTCTATGAAGATTTAAGTTTGTTTTTTTGCGGCCCACATAAACTTAGACCTTGTTTATTTGGCCCGTGCTAGCCTTTGAGTTTTACATGCTTGATCTAGAGATATAAGCTAAGCCCTGAGAGCAGAAATTGAACTGTATATCTGTTTTGTTTTTGTTTTTCTCATCATTTGTAATGTGTGCCTGGACTGAAAAAAGTGTGATGTCACTTGCTAAATAGTTATTTCTAATGTTTTATTCATTAGTGTAATTTCCGTAGAAATCATGAATGTGTGTAATGTTGTATGAATTTTTTTTTAATTGTTTATATTGTATTCATATAGTTGACTATTAAACCTCCACCAAAGGAGTATTTCATGCACATTAGCCATTACAGCTTGCTGCAGTTGTTCTGGTACTGGGTCGGCTTGGCGACCCCATTGTTAGTAGTCAAGCCATCGTTGATTGGTTTGATTTCGAAGGCAGGGAGCAGCACCCCGCACACTAAAGGTTAGAAACAAAACCAAGTCAAAAGTCAAAAACTGTTTTACTACTTAAATTGAGGAGGCAGTGCTCTAATGGCACCATAAGTTGTAGTGGTTATGGTGCTTGCAGTGTTCCTTTAACAAGAGAATTAATGGAAATTATTCTTTTATTTTTATTTCTCTAGAAACTATATTTGCTCAAGGATGGTTATGTCATGAGTGTGTCGCTTGAGGTTGAGTTCAATACACCAGTGGAGCAGAAACCATGCTGCATCATACATAGTATAACGCCAGGTTGTCTTTATATTTGATTCCCACTGCATTCTCTTTATACGGTTCTGTTTTTTTGTTTTTTTTTACTTTAGCAATCACCAAGGTGCAACTCCCCTTGTCCTGGCAAAGCGCAGGGGAGTGAATAAGGAAGTGATTCGCATGCTTGAGTCCTTGGAGGAACAGGAAGTCAAAGGCTTTAACAGGGGTACTCACTCAAAGCTAGAGGCCATGCAGACGGCTGAAAGCGAAAGGTATGTCCAATGCTCTGAGCTTCTCATGGAAAAGGGACACAGCACTCTGTCCGAAGGATCCACTGAGGAAGATTGGTATGTTGGGAGCAGTTTATATTCTTTATTGATTATGTCTAAGAACACCCTGTATTGACTGTGTTTTATGAAATCTGCTAACTCTCTCTGTGCAGATATAAAGCTGTGGTCACCTTTAAACAAAAATTCACATTCTGGTTTATTTTACTAAACTTAGGTCTTGTCGACAGCCTCCTTCCTTTTAAGACTTCTGGTTTCTTTAGATTCTTAGCTTGTTTGGGCAGGGCCCTCTACTGTTCCCAAATGTCAAACATGTTTTGTTAAAATTAAATGTTTGCCTTGTCTACCTATTGTACAGCCCTGAGGAATATGTTAAAGCCATATAAATAATTGTAATTTGTAACGGCACCCCGGGCATAAAATGGGTTAAACCGCCGTTTAGTAGATCTTCCCTTCCAGAGACACAGGCACAGCTACTGTAGACACCAATCCACCGACCCGGAGAAGCACATGAATGCCGTAAACAGCTGAACCAGAACCACACGAATGCTGTAAACAGCTGAATAGGAAAAACCATACAAATAGGTTTACACTCCTAGCAGTCAAACTGGAACAGCATACAGTAAATCCCCCCAAGAACGAGACAAAGCTCCATGTTGAGGGTCAAGCAGTGAACAGTCAGAGCTGTGGGTTTATTGTTCTTATATACACATTAGTACCACCCACCGGGTTTTGGAAAACAACCAATAAACACGTACAATACACTCAGACACTCCCACACAAAATCCTCCCCTCTGCCTGTGATACAATTACCTTACACAATGGGTAATATAATTATCACAGACAGATAAATTAAAATTTTTCCACATTATTCATAACTTTAAAAGTATTCATCACATTCACATAAAACTTACATTTTCAGAATCCGCATACTCCAAATACGAACATATGTCAAAATCATCCACATTGGTCCATTGGTTCGAAAGATAGATCAAAGTCCTTTGTGACCAAAGGAAGCATGGCTTTTCTGCCCAAAACCAGTTCCACAGAGTCTTCTATCCTGGAGATAATTGGGAAGTAATCCAATTATCTCCAAGGACAGAAGCAAAACTCCATTAAGCACATGGCAGTAACAAGACAGTAAAATACAATAAAATACACAAGGTTACATTTATTACATAAAATATAGACATGCAACATATCCCCAGATAGCTTAGGTCTGAGCACACATTATTACTGAATGGCACTCAGACCACACACATACAGTTAAATTGCCATGGAGCCAAAGTCTTTCCCATAGTCTTTCATTATACGAATGGGCTCCATGGCATAGTTATCTGGGGTATCACCGCTCAAACAGGGCAAGCACCGAATGACCCGGCTTTCATGTCTTTGCAGGGGAAAATCAAGCATTTCAACATGGGACCATAGTCTAAAGGCAGCAGGCGGGCAACCAGGCTCCTCCAATGCACAGTGGCGAGATTGGTCTTGTCACATAATTATATTATCACCCTGCTAGAAAAGCTAGTCGTTCAGTTCCCTTCCTTAATGCCACTGCTTTCAGTTTTGTGTATACAATGCTTACTGTCCCTCTTCCCCATCCCAAGTAGAGTGAAGGTAGTAAGGAAGGAACATGTATGTTCAGACGGTGAGAGATACAGGGGATTTATGTGTGTGGAAAGAATAGCATGAAAGTAAGTTGACTAGGAAGGTATAGGGTCCCTGCATGATTCCCAATCAGAAGTTAAAGGAACACTATAGTGTTAGGAATACAAAGAACTATCTATAGTGTATTCAGCCCCCAGTGCCCCCCCCCTCCACTGCACATAAATACCAGCTGTTAATAATCATCTGTTCTAGGGAATCACTGTATTTCTTAAGTGCAGACATCACTGGGGTTAAAGGAAGCTTCTCACGCTTATTACAAAAAAAAATAAAAAAAATATCTCTGTAGACAATGAAAAACTTACACTAAGTGAGGAGCACAGAAATTTAAATGTACCTTAAGGAGATGCACAAGCAGGCACTGTGACTGCTTGAGACGTCAAACAAAGTGGAACTGCTTAAAGGACCACTATAGTGCCAGGAAAATATACTCGTTTTCCCTCAGGGTCCCACTCCCACCGGGCTGGATGGAGAGGAAGGGGTCAAACACTTACCTTTCTCCAGCGTCGGGCCCCCTCGGCGCTGGGGAATCTCCTCCTCCTTTCCCCGTCATCGGCTGAATGCGCAGCCGCGCGTGCAATCAGCCAGTCTCATAGGAAAGCATTCTCAATGCTTTCCTATGGGCGCTGGCGTCTTCTCATTGTGAAAAGCACAGTTCTCTGAAACTGCTATGTTTACAGCAGAAAGGGTTAATCCTAGGTGGACCTGGCACCCAGACCACTTAATTTAGCTGAAGTGGTCTGGGTGACTATAGTGGTCCTTTAATTCCTCCATAATGAGAAGAATCCAAGAAAACAAGGGAAAAAAGGGATCTTTAGTAAAATAAAGTAACATTACCGCTTGGTCATACAGGGGGACGTACTGAATCAAACCTGACGCGATTCATGCTTACTCTGGAACATCCTCAGAGACCTCCGGCCCTGTTTGCCTCATTATAAATGTTGTATTCATATATACCTAACACACTTTACTGTATATTATACTGGCAAATATTGTATTCTTTTAATATTGTGAAAGCTTCATTTGTCAGGAGGGTGTAGTTCACTTGTCCGCTTTGAACATTAAAAAGCTGATTGCTAAACTGAAAACTCCCAGAAACGCCTGATATGTAGCTTTCCCTCACTGGCATATTTCTGTGAGGGAGAGGGCTTATACCTGCAGTGATATTTGCTTGTTATTATTACACATAAAGATGAACAAATGTTTGTTAATCCACTATACATTTTTATCAGGTAGGAAAGAAATTGAACATTTTACTTCTAGTGAAAGGTAAACATTAGACAGGATTTCCTGTTAAAAGGGTAGTTGGTGCCGATTTCAAGTAAGCTTGTATAATCAGACGTAAATAGTGCCCTTAATTGACAAAAAATGGTCATTCATCCCTTGCTGTAAAGGAAAATAGACCTATTATTATTCACAGTGAAAGTGACCTTTGTGTACTCTTGGTTACACATTAACTTCCAGACGAGGATTTGTCGTTCTACTTACATAATCTTATCGTTATTGTACAGACTCTGCTTCATATATACATACTTTATATTGAGAAATGCAATATATGTTTAATTTAACCAAGGGGCTTAAAGGCAATTCATCATAGGATTAGTATTTCAATTACAATTTATGGGTTATCTGTTGTCTATATCTGATGTAACCTTTCAAAGAGGCATTTAAAGGGACACGTTGGTTTTCTTAACTACTGGATCCCTAATATGTTTGCAAGTGACCTTTTAAATGTTATATGTCCTTGTTTTACCCTTCATACCTTTTATATTGGAGTATGTTTGCATTGTCAGCCCTAGTTGTTTGTTGAATTTAAGCCCAGTCCTTAGTGCGGAGCATGCCAACCTGGTTATCATTGAAACTAAAAGATTACATTATTATTCATTTTGTTATAAAGTGGCAACATATTCCATAGCGCAGTACAGTGTAGACAAACCAATATAAAAGGACCCTGCCCATGAGGGATTAAGAGATCTAGCATTACGAGCCTTTTCGCACAAAGTACTAACAACCCTTGTCCAGCTTAGACAGCAATGATAGGCCGAGAGCATTGGTATAACCCACTTAGTCTCCTGTTTCTGCCGTGATCAGATGTTTTTCACTTCGTAATGCAGAAGTAGGATTTCCACTTTGTTTATTTGACAGATCTTTGTAGTGGTATTATCTATGCAACTGCAGAACGGGAAGGCAGTGGCTGCTGGGGAGTGCTCCAGTTTTTGTCAGACCACTCCAAAACATTTGACACAAAGTCAGGATATGGTGCCCAAATAGGCCTAGAGCAGCTAAAGCTCTACAATTATGTTGCCACACTAGTCTCCGCAGAAAGGCATAGTCTTGCTTCATATTTTTATATAATTGTTGGCCTGTCTGTTTATCATGAAAGAACAGACTGCTGCTTTGCCATAACAAAGGCCACGTGACAGTCCTGCAGACATAAACAAGAAATGCTGTGTTTCACAAGTGTAGACTGACAGGCAGAGAATGATTTTTAAAGGTCGGGGAATCTTATCTGTTTGGCCTGTCTTGTAAACAAGTGATGTAAAAAAAAAAATGTTTGAAAATGTCTTTCTTTCTTAGTCTTGAAGGGATGATCTTCTGCAGAAACGTTTGTGTACCATAGAGTAGTGTCGGGAAAAGATCTCCTTTTTTTTCTTTCATTTAACATTCGTTTGTTATTAACAAATTACATAATGCCATGTCTTATTCTATGTAGCTGCTCTGCTTGGTATTAACACTCACATAACCTATTTAATCTTGAAGTGGCTCTCTGGATACCATAACCACTTCAGTTAAAGTGATTATTGTCTCAATCTTCAAACCAGCAATTTTATCTTAATCTAGTTTTTTCAAACTCACCAAATCGATTGTATTGCTCCACCTACAACCTTTTCAGTTGCATACCATCAAGTGTGGACTTGTCATTAGGCAGAGTGGGCACCTGCCTAGAATTTGCAGAAAAGGAAGTGTAAACATTACATGATTCTTTACAGGAAGTGTTTAGGAATGCTATGTAAGTCACATGCAGAGTGGTGTGACTAGGGCTGCATAAACAAAGTGATTTAACTCCTAAATGGCAGAGAATTGACCAGTGAGACTTTAGAAGCATGATCTAAGTTGTTTCACTGACTATAGTGTCTCTTTAAATTTAAAATTCACTTTGAATTTGTACTTTAGTTAAAAAAAAATCACTAACCCTTACCACTTTTCACATTATTTTTGACTATGCATGTATTTACACAGCTACACACACTCACTATATTCACAGATTCAACCACAATACAGTAAAAGTAGAAATATAAACATTTGCTGTTAACAAAACTGGATATGGGTTTTTTTTTTTTTCTTTCTGTTATGCTTATATTGTCCATTTAATAAATTCATTAAATTCACTTTATCAGTTTGATATATAAAACAAAAAGCTCTATAAACTGAAGTGGTTACAGTGCCAGAGTGTCCGTTTAATAAATAAACCCAGCAATGTAAATGAGTAAATAGGTGGGTAGAGATTTCATTTTTACTTTTGTGTTTGTTAAAGGACCACTCTAGGCACCCAGACCACTTCAGCTTAATGAAGTGGTCTGGGTGCCAGGTACCTCTAGGATTAACCCTTTTTTTTTATAAACCTAGCAGTTTCAGAGAAACTGCTATGTTTATACTGAGGGTTAATCCAGCCTCCAGAGCCTCTAGTGGCTGTCTCATTGACAGCCACTAGAGGCGCTTGCATGCTGCTCACTGTGAAAATCACAGTGAGAGCACGCAAGCGTCCATAGGAAAGCATTGTAAATGCTTTCCTATGCGACCGGCTGAATGTGTGCGCGGCTCCTGCCGCGCATGCGCATTCAGCCGATGACGTCGCGAGCAAGGAGGAGAGTAGGAGTACAGCTCCCCGCCCGGCGCTGGAGAAAGGTAAGTGTTTAGCCCCTTCCTCTCTCCAGAGCCCGGCGGGAGGGGGTCCCTCAGGGCACTATAGTGCCAGGAAAACGAGTATGTTTTCCTGGCACTATAGTGGTCCTTTAACCAAATTACAGCACAGATCACTCCCTCTGCTAATTTACAAACAACTGTGGCTATTGTATACAGTATATATTTCATATTATAAAGAAAGAGAATGTACTGGACTAATATCCGTACAATCTTTAAGTCTCTTGTCCGGAAAAGATGCTTTTGAGAAACTGTCTGAAACGGATGTGGTCCATAGTTGCTCGATCCATTTTCATAGAGCCGCATAGATAAAATGAAAGCATGAAATTTAACATATATGCCTGTGTAGAATGAAGAATAGACTTCACAAAAATAGATGCATAATATGTATCAGTACAGTAGCACATATAGCAGGTGAGTATTATAGTGGATCAATAAAAAGCAGAATTTATGTTCTAAAATATAATTATTGAACACTATGTACCACATGAGTCATAAAAACCCATCTGTCACATATAAATAGATCAGTTTTATGAAATTAGAAAATAATTGATCTAATGGTTTGTTAAAGGGACACTACATTGCCTAAATACAAATGAAAACTTGCATGCATTTAATTTTGCTTTTTATCATTGGAGTTATATCTAAAAACATCTTGCAAAGACTGCAGATCTCTTGTTTGCTGCCTTTTGTAAGCCCTCTAACGAGGAAGTAAAAGGACGTGTTGTGTACTTGAAAAGCAAGAGTGTGTAACCAGTATAAATTATAACGGTGTCAATTTATATTGAAATCTAAACAATTTAAAAATGAAAAAAGAGGACACACTCTTCACACACAAAGCTTTTCAGCAAGTCAGCAAGCTAGAGTGCTTTAGGGGTCTGGAGTGTCCCGTTATCTAAGATCTAATAAATGGCACATTCAGTGTTCTCTAAGAATGTTCCTGTTCGCTTGTAGTTTGGAGCAGAGTATGATAGATACTTGTGCTGAGCATTGATGAACTCTTAGCGTGGATACTCAAATACAATTAATCTCTTTGAATTATTTTTGAACATGACCAGGTGATCTCATAAAATCTGGCCATACAATTGCCAAGTGTTCAGTTTATTAGACAAACACTAAATTCTAGAAAATTCAGTTAAAGAATATTTCCAAATCCGTGCTTTTGCTTTTTGAAACTGAGATTTTAATTTCCTCTAATTTGGGGTTTAGCGAATAAGCTGGATAATGTTGTTCTGTGGATTTATTATGTATACTGTACTTTCTTCTATTGGATATGTGTTTTACCAATCTGTTCCCTTCTCTTACAGTGCCATGGAAAGTCATTCCCTCCTGAATCCAAACCTTCAGCAAGGGGAAGGGGTCCTCTCTAGTTTCCGCACCACTTGGCAGGAGTTTGTAGAGGACCTAGGGTTCTGGAGAGTGCTTCTTCTCCTTATCGTCATTGCTTTACTTTCCCTTGGAATAGCATACTACGTTAGCGGTGTTCTTCCATTTGTAGAAAATCAGCCTGAACTAGTCCACTAAAACACGGGCTGAGCTCTTACGAGCATTCCTCTATTCATTACTTTTCAAAGCAGTGGTATCTATATGTACTGCATATATAGCTAGACCCACTTCTCATCACCCCTAACTCATTTGGAACAAACTGCTTGTTCTCAGAAGATTCTGGATGGATATTTCCTGGGGTGTCTTCTTAAAGACTATTGTTTATAGAGGGCTGGAGAGAAAGCAGTGAAGCTCCAAGCCACTTAATTCTGTGGTTTGCTTTATGTTTATCAGAATATGTGTCATGAGACTGTTGATCTTTGGACTGCTGTTGAGGCGCAAATATTTTTTTTTGTTCTTTCTTTCTTTTTTGAGTAAGGATCAAAAAGTTCAAAAGTTCCACTTTCAGATTTCAAAAAGTAATTTAGATTTATTGTAACTGACACTTAGCTCCATGTCAGGTGTAGTCTAAGTAGAAGCAAGTTAAGTTCAATGTTTTTGTTTTATTTGTATTCAGTTCATTTTCTTCTTGATAAACTTAGTCCCTCGAGCCAGTACATTAGTAAAATGCATTGCTCTGTCGAAGTTTCATTTCTGTATATCTCATTGAATTCCTTTGAATGGAATGTTTTAAGATATATGAGAAATGTGTGCAGTTTAAGATAACATTCCATAAGTACCTAAGTAGCTCCATTTGTAGATCTAAATGAGTTAACGGCTGAAATACTCAAGAGGAAGTAATAGACGTTTTGAGTGTGTGTGTATATATATATATATATCAGTTTGTCTCTAAATAAGACTTTAAAATGAATGAAAGACGTAGAAATATATTGTTGCATAATGCAAGAGACAGCGTTACCATTTCTAAAACTGATCCGCGATTATGAATTTTCTTTAGTCTGATTTCACATCTTTTCAGCCATGGAAACTGTCAATGATAGGAGACAGCAGGAGTGTTTAAAACGTGGTACATACCTGATACCTCACATAATTCACAAATTCTGATGAGAAATGAATAATACAACTAGAAATGGCTTTATTCTAAAAGCTTAAAATTGTTTTAGTCCAAGTGATACAACAACCCCCCCCCCCACCCCTCCCGCCCTCCATTTCTGATACATTTAATGATGTATTTACTACCTATGTGCTAAAAGCTATGTGCAGGATATAACTGCCCTCATTTATGCACAGCTGATTTATAAAACATGCAGAACTGCCCCAGGAATCAGATCTTATCTGCCAATGACTTCAGTATTTTGTTTCACACCGCGTGCCTTTCAATGAGAACACGCCACTTGATAAAATCCGTATACTATATCATAGGACCTTGGCTGTCCTGGATTCTTGCAGGCCAAGCTCTTTACTGAAATAGTGTTTTGTGAAATCTATTTCTGTTGTACAGTCTTAGCATTCTCGTTCCCTCGAACAGTTGCCGCATTCATTGATGACATTGAATAGAAGTACCAATACTTTAGAAAAAGGCAATTGTATCAAACAATGCAGGGGGGTGCCTTTAAATCAGACAAAACATGCATAGTATGTGGTTCCCCACTCTCTCTGAAAATAAAAAGATTGCGTAAACCTGGCCTACAGGCTGATGTGCATGTTTAAAGTTGCAGTGTTTGTATAATGTAGCATTATAGAAGTTAATGGCGGCTGTTTTTGTTTTCATTTTTTTATTTTGCTGTATTGTAACGGTCCATTTTTCTTTGCAGGTATTTTTGTTTTCCTGAGTTTTTGTTCTTGTTTGTTGTATTAATGTGTAACAAGCTATTTTGCAACTGAATTATTCGTAAAGTACAGCTACGTGGTCATTGAATTTTCAATAATATTACAATGGTTTTCTCATAATTCTAGAATCCTGTAATGGTTTTCTCATAATTCTAGAATCCTGTAGTGTGCTATTCAGGCCTTCACTCGTAATTAATTGCATTAGAGCAGACTTTGGTTGACCTGAGCATAATGGCAGTTGTTGGGTATCGGTAAGACAGCTGTTAAGCAGAGGTTGCCATTCTATGCCATAGAGAATGCCATTGGAATACTTAAAAATAGTTATTTATCAATGGTTATTAATCATTATGAACTTAAGAATGTCTCAGAAAGGTGTTTTAAAAAACCAATTTGACATGTTGTATTGTAATGTATGTATTAAATGAGTAATTATACTAATTTAGGATTTTTATTTCTTTTCAGTTGTAATCCATCCAAGGTTGTTGTTGTTGTTTTTTGGTTTGTTTGTTTTTTCACTTCAGTATTGAACATATACCATTCTTTGACATGTTTATTTGCATAAATAACATTAAAATATTGTATTCACGACTTTGTTGTCAGCCTTTTTTTTCCCCCAGGGATTGTCTGAATGACAGTACAAATTGGAAAATAATAAAAAAAGTTCTGTGCTTTCCATCCAGAGACTACTCTTTTAATAAATAAATAAATAAGTCTTCAGACATATTACCATTGTGATTTTTATAAAGATAATCTGTGAAAATAATAGATGCAGATTTGGGGGAGGGAATTAAGACTTGGCAGAAGCTCTTTTTTTTTTTATTTTTTTTTTTTATGTCTTTAATCCTGCATGGTTACGATAAAGGACAGTGACTTGTCTTACACAAAATTTTCAATCAGATGTAACTTACTTTAAATGTTTGTTTCTTCTTGTGACATGGGATGAATGGTTGACTTTATGTATCACTAAGCGTGTACCTTGCAGTGGTCTTATGCCAGTGTTTTTAGTTTTAACTGTTTGTTATAAGATGCCTATTTCTTTGTTTTTAACATTTAGCTACCATAACGTACTCATGTACTCTCAGAGTGGCCGTCCATTAATACTGGTATAAATATTAGAGGTCTACCTGGTGGACTTCCTCCTGTTGTCTAGCAATGAATAGCTAAAATGTCTTCGTTTCTGTTGAACCTTTTTTATGTATCGATAACCAGCTATGATAACCTAGTTTATCTAAACTAAAAAAAAACACTCGACTGTACAGTATATATTGAAGTTTATGTACAAATAAATTGTGGCTATAATATGCACCATATTAACTTTCTGCTATCTCCTAAAAATGCACAGTATTCTAGCCTGAATTTTTATAATTCCTTAAATTGTTCTGTTCTTTTAATGCCATGCTTATGTTTTGCTCTGTTAGTATTATTGTGCTTGCTTTTGCTGTGGTGGCATCTCAAGCGCTTTTGGTATTGTATTTTATTTTATGCACAGCAAAAGTAAAGAATTGGGAGAAAACAAAAGTTTGTATCTATTGCTCTGTAAATTGAACTTTTATCTACATACAGGAGGCTCTTCACAAGAAATCAACAGACCAGGAGATAAGACTGTTCTCAATTAAACAGAATTTGCATCAAAGGAAGTGTAAACATTAGATGACTCTTTACAGGAAGTGTTTAGGAAGGTTGTTTAAGTCACATGCAGAGAGGTGTGGCTGGTGCTGCATAAACCAAGTGTTTTAAAGGGACACTATAGTCACCTGAACAACTTCAGCTTAATGAGGTTGTTCAGGTGAGAACTATAGCTCCCTGCAGCCTCTCATGTAAACACTGTATTTTCTGAGAAAATACAGTGTTTACATTGAAAGCTAGGAATTCCTCCAGTTGCAGTCACTCAGAGTGAACCAGAGGGACTTCGGAGTTGATGGATGCATAATATGTCTCTATCCACTCAGATCTGCTGTCAGCAGAGCACATGGCAGCACTGTGCACAGCATCCTGTGATTCAATATCTCCTCCCTCTGCATGCAGACACTGAACTTTCCTCATAGAGATTAATTGATTCAATTAATCTCTATGAGGAGAAGCTGATTGGCCAGGGCTGTGTTTGAATCATGCTGGCTCTGCCCCTGATCTGCCTCTTTGTCAGTCTCAGCCAATACTATGGGAAAGCACTGTGATTGGATAAGGCTACCACATGTCAGCAGACTGCTTGTTTTTCTGAGTCTAACAGCTTCTGGCTTGAATACAGTAAGATTTTTACTATATTTATGGAGGCATGAGGAACCCAGGGGGGCTAGATGGTGGTGTTAACACTATAGGGTGTTCCTGACCCTATAGTGATCCTTTAACTCCTAGATGGCAGGAAATTGAGCACTGAGACTGCAGGGACATGATCTATACACCAAAACTGCTTTATTAAACTAAAGTTGTTTGGGTGACTATTTTTTTATGCCGCTTTATGGTTTTTCATATTTTATATGTTCCATTTTGTTGCTGTATTTAAAGATATGTGTTGCATTCATTCTGAATGTTAGAAGTCAAAAAAGTGAAGCTAGAACACCTCATAGATATGGGGGAACTGTCTTTCACTAGATTACCAGGGGTAAAAAGATCATTCTAAAGTAGAAGAAATATACAATGTTGATACATTATGTCAAAGGGTTCCACAGGAAAAATTAATTGGGAACCCCTGCTCTAAGGCAATATTAGAGGTGACAGCGACCGGACCCCTGATGGCACTTCCTCCCAGACAGAGCGCGCCGGATGAAGGGAAAGGGAGAGCAGCGAGGAGTGAGCAGCTGCGAACCTGGCACACCATCCTCAGCCAGCAGCACTAAAGGAAGAAAAAAGGTAAGTTAAGAGCAAATATAAACGTGTGTGTGTATGTGTACCTGTGTCAAGGTGTGAGTGTGTGTGTACCTGTGTCAAGGTGTGTGTATCTTTGTACCACTATGACATACACCAGCACATACAAAAAAAGGTTTATGCAACAGCGCAAAATGTTTTGGGGGGGAAGTGGGCGGGAGTTTACGATGTCGATACACCATGTCAAATGGGTTCCACGGGAAAAATTAATTGGGAAGCCCTGCTCTGGAGCCTCAATAAGATTCTAAGGTAAACTCCTCATTGGTATTCTGTATATAAACAGCAAACATAGAGGAAAATATGGTAGATTCAAAAAATAGAGGATTCACCACTCTCTGAGACTCCCCAATAAGATATCATATCCACAAAGATGTATGTCAAATTCTACATAAACCAACATAATCAATTAAATAACTCTAGACCTCCAACATGTAGAAATAATTCAAATATTGAATGTAAATGAGGGGAGGGAGATTAAAGGCAAATACAGATTGTATATCCAAATCACCTAAACTACCATATCCTCTTCCCGACCCACTGCTTCGAGGCAATCTATCTATGAAAGTTCCCTGCGGCTCAACAGAAGGAAAAGGGAAAAAATAGTTGCTACAATTGCGTTAATGGCGGTTCCTCATTCTAACTAGTGAGACAAAGACAAAAAAATCTAAGTGGTACATCGCTAACTAAGCTCGACGCACCAGCTTTCTATACTAGTTTTTATTCACTCTCTGTGCTAATCACTGTCAGACTGAACACAGATTTGTTTTGTTTATATGTTTCAATTCATGTTACAAAATAGTAAATGTCAGTGTTGCTGCATTTTGACATTGTCATTGTACTATCTATGATCCTTTTACTGTCAATTGTATGCCTACCAAATGGTGTGCGTTAAAATAAAAAACAAATTTTTACTTACCGTAAATTTCTTTTTCCAGAAGATTAGAGGCAGTGCTTTACAACTGGGATTTCATCACCTGGAGGGAAAAAACAGGCAGGCAGTCTCCCAAACTTTTCAAGAACCTCCCCCAATTAACCTTTGGCCTTATAAATTGCTTCCTACCCAAGACATCCCCAGAAATTACAAAAGCCGAATAACCGTACCACTCAGACTATTAAAATTTTTTGGGGGGGAAGTGAGCACTGCCTCCAATCTTCTGGAAAAATAAATTTACGGTAAGTAAAAAAAATTAGTTTTTCCCTTCAGATTAGAGGCAGTGCTTTACAACTGGGATATCCAAAAGCCATCCCTTAGGGCGGGACTCAATTCTCACTGCAAAAAACCTGCGACCAAAGTTGTATCTTCCAAGGTCAACAGACCAAAATGAGTGATCACCTCGTGGCTGTTAGGAATTCGAGAGAATGTATAGCAGAAGCCCTCAGGCACCCGATCTGAACATAAATGTGATCGAAGGAGCTTCAATGGAGATAGGTGTTAGATAAGAAAAAACCCAAACGAATGCAGACCTTTAAGGTAACGTAGACGAGAACTAAACGCCCAGGCAGTGCAATTAGAATTCGAAGACCCTAGAACGCTTTTGGGAAAAGTTAGAAAAATAATGATGGATGGAAGATTGGGAAGAATTAAAGAATCCAACTTAACTCTACTTTCTCCTGCTGAAAATGGGAACTTGAAGTTCTTCCCAAAAATATTTTGGGCGACTACCCCCAAAGACCTAGAGTGAAGACTCAAATCAGCAGAGTTAAAAACCCCAAAAGATGATTCCCTGAAGATAGGAACTAACCACGAAAGAGCCTAGCAGATACTGGTGATTTGGAGACAAACCTCTGAAAATCAACTGATAACTGAAATTTGACCTTGAGGATCTCTGGCTTTAAACCATCCGCAATGCTTTTCTTTGAACCAATATCTTAAAAAAACAACACCTTCCATACATGGAATAAATCTTGGAACAAGATCCATTTATAGTAAAATAAATTTTCAATTTCCTGAGACAAAACATTATCCTTCAGTATCTGGTATACATAAACCAGGTCGTCAATAAACCAGGTCGTCAGCTTGAATTACTACAAAGTTGAGAAGAGGTACCCTTGAGAATTTCAGGATGCCTATATACAAGTAAGGTCCCCAAAGATTCCTCTGGATAATTTTAGATGTACGGTGAAACAGCTACTTGCCACCAAGGGAGGAAGACTATCATTCTCACTTTTCCATCCTATAGGATCTTGGGGAATAGGGAACCAGGAGGAAACTATAGGTTAGACTGGAATTCCCAAGAAAGAAAAGGAAACCAAAGCTTACTGGTCTGTCAAAGCTTCTCCAATGAAGCACTTCATGCTACCTGTTTGATCTAGAAGTCCCAGTTCCATAACTGGATAATCAAATTCTTCCTATCGTTGGGTGAAGATCAGGGAGTACGAACCAAACTGCTTTGTATTAAATGTTTACTACTCAATGCTACAGCTAAATAGAGGAATATTAAGTTCTATGCATAAGTGAATAGACCTAAGAAAAACTAACCCAAGCATATCCTGGAACAAGATTTTTCAAACAAGAAGAAGACCTTGTTTGTACATAATTGCTACCGATGTAGAACTATCCGACCAGATCTGGACAAGATAATACCTGGTCTTTATCTGAAAGGCAAAGAGAGCTAGCCAGATAGCCTTCGGTCCTATGTAGTTGGATAAGTTTTTTTCAAAATATCTCAGCTAATTTCCCTTCAACCCTATGAGAACCTAGCTGAGACCTGAAGCATCAGTCGTAA